AAGATTTTTGGCCAAAAATGCATAAAAAGTGACCATTCCCCCCCCCTTAACTTCTAAACTATTCGACATGGAGAGCTGAAATTTTGCATGCTGGTGTATTTTTACTCGAATATTACAGGAAAAATATAGAGAACTTGATATGTAATGATGGCCATAGCGTTGTCAAGGAAAAACTAAAAAATTTTTAAAAAAAAAATTTTTTTTCCTAACTTTTACATTATTTGACCTAATGAGCTGAAAATTGGTATCCTAGTGTATTATTACAGTCTGACGACAAAAAATTTATTTAAGAAACTTTTTGAAAAAAAATCAAAAAAAATTTTTTTTTAATTTTTTTTTCAAAAAAAAAAAAATGTTTTTAATTTTTTTTTAGTTTAAACACGTGGCATTAAATATTTTAAGGAAGAGAGTGAAATTTTAAAAGAATAAATGAGAGATTGTTTTCTGACTTTAATTTCTTAACTAAAAATAAAAAAAAATTGGACAAGTGCAATGGCGGGTTCCGCACACAAATATTAAAACAATACTTGCAACATTGATCGGTAATTAGTAGAATTAAAATAAACAATTATAAAAATATATTAAAATCATTTGATAAAAAAAATAACTAAAAAAAATTAAAGTATTGTATATATCTAATATTGTAAACAATAATAAGCAGAAGAACTATAATAAATTTTGAAAATTTTGTTCCTCTGCTTATTATTGTTTACAATATTAGATATACAATACTTTAATTTTTTTTAGTTATTTTTTTTATCAAATGATTTTAATATATTTTTATAATTGTTTATTTTAATTCTACCAATTACCGATCAATGTTGCAAGTATTGTTTTAATATTTGTGTGCGGAACCCGCCATTGCAGTGCGAGTACAACTCGCACTTGTCCAATTTTTAAAAACTATTATAAATAATTACTAAAAATGTAAATTCTGCAAAAATATTATAAATTAATGTAAAACATCACATGAACAATTATTTCATATGTAAGTATTAAGGTGGAATAACTAATTTATGTAATTGCAAAATCGCATATAAAACTGTACTAAAGTATGTCCTAAATGACGTCCTAAAGCATGTACTTTCGTATCCCAAATTCGGATATACTTTCGGACATACTTTAGTATATACTTTGGGACGTACTTACGGACACACTTTAAGACATACTATAGTATGTACATATAGTTTGTACTTATTTTCAAGTGGGTTGGGCATTTTAAAACTTGTACCTGGAAATCTAGAAAAGTAAACCTGAAAATAAGAAAACCCTGAAAATTGAAAAAACACCACCTTAAACCTAAAACACAATAGAAAACCCTAGAATAGAAAAAAAAATCACCACCTTAAAAACTAATACCCAAAACCTGAAAAAGTACACTTAAAACTAGAAAAATATACCTAAAAATAAGAAGACCTTAGAATAGAAAAAGCCAACACCTTAAAAACTTATACCTATAGCTCTAAGCACAACTGAGTCGGGTGCGGGAGACGACTTCGGGATATGGGATTCTTAACCTTAAAATGGATGTAAACCTTACATATCCCGTAACCGTCTCCCGAACCCAACTCACTTGTGCTTAGGCCTTATAATAGAAATAAATCAATGCAACCTGAAATTTAAAAAAAAATCAATATCACCTAAAAACAAAATTGAAAAAAAAATCTTTGAATTCTAAAAGAACTCTGGAATCCTGAAAGTAGTCTGCTCAACCATTCAAAATGCAACTGATGCTTGTGCCCTTGTGGCCCGCGCTCCGTAACTTATACCCCAGTCCCCACTATACTCACCTCCCCACTGCGCAACTCCCCACTACTCTCACTACTACTGATGGTAATAATACCTACCAACGGTCGGTAATTATCTTGGCTAATCTGACCAATTACTTTTTTTAATCGAATATAAATTACAAAATATGTAACTGAATTGATTGCCATCATGCTATTCTTAGATATACTTTCCCTACTAAAAATAAAATCAGGAATCGTCATGAATGGTCAGAATTTCTGAACATTCCTGAACAGTCTCACCACTTCTGACGTTTTCGAACGTTTCTCACCATTCCTAACCAAATACTTTCCAAGCTCCTCCCACTTTACTCCCACCATTTTCGAAGCTGTGACCATTTCTGAAATTCCTGACCATTTCTGAAATTCCTGACCATTTCTGAAATTCTTTACTATTTCTGAAATGTGTGAACACATAACCTATAAAAATTTTGGTACATCTTTCTAATTTTGGTAAAGTCTCATGAAAATTTATATATACATATAAAATCTTTCAAATTTATTTTTTACATTTCAGAATACATTATTCTATTATAAAAATTGTTCTTTTAACTTAACAAAAGTTCTCATTTTTCAAATTGGTATAATTATTGAATTAATTATACAACAAAAGTAGGTAAATAAATCAAAACATTCGGACCATTCTTTTAACATTATTTAATATATTTATTTAATGTATATTTATAATATATTAATTTAATATATGTATATTTACTTGTAATTATTTAATATAGTTAATTATATTAATAATAAATTTTGTTTCATAATATTAGTAATTTACTATACCAGTCAGTACTCTCTAAATCTGAATATGTGAAAATTCACATATTTGTACGTTATAAGTCGTCTTCTCGATCAATAAGTGCATATACACTGGTAATAAGTGAAATTTCACTCAGAGTAAGTGAAAAATTCACTTATTTATAAGTGTATATGCACTTATTGATCGAGAGGACGACTTATAACGTACAATAAGTGAAATTTCACATATTCAGATTTAGAGAGTACTTATTATGAGAAGTATTTGCATTATAATTGAAATACAGTTATATTTAAATTATTATTAATCATTAATAGAATAATTTCTTACTATAATGATTATTAATAATTTGAATTTCAAATTTATAAAAATTTCAATATTGCATTAATAATTCATTATTATTATAAATTATAATGTTAAATTAAATTAATATTAAATACTAAATTCATTTTGAATGCAGATATAATAATAATTATTATTAATCTGTATTCGTATTATAGTTTATGAAACATTACAAATTGTAAAGTTAAGACTTAATTTATTATTGATTCAATTAATAATGTTAATTTTTATTAATTCACATAACCTATTATGACTAAATTGAAATATAATTAATTAATAAAAATTATTTAACAGTTTATTCTGATTTATTGATAATATTGGTAATTGAATTTTACTATTTTACAGTTGCTCTTTATATAGACAGTTGAATCCAGAAATATGTAAGTCGGTTCGGTAGTCGCAGTCGTTAGGGCAGTTAGTTTAGGCACTAGGTTAGGTCATGCGTCGGGGTTCGATCCCCGTAGGGTCCAAATTTTAATTTAATTCCGGGAATTAGTTTCAAGTTGTTCCGTATGTAAACAAACTGATATTAATTAATAAAATATATTTTTTAAAATTAATTTGTTGCAACTTTTTGCATATTGTTTAAATAAATAAAACAGAAAAAGGCTTAAAAATATGGTCAAAAATGAGATACAAATGGTCTCAAATAGTCACCAATTATGGGCGGGGTCAACAAAGAGGAGGGGATAGTAGCAAACTTGTGACCACTTTAAACTTCCTCCTGCACGGAGAGAAAAATCAAGCGTTTGTAGTATGGACAGTTAAGCTTATTTCGTAAAAGAATGCACATGCGCAATATGCGTAAAACTTCTGCTGTATTTGTATAAATTTCTACGTTATCAGCATAAAAGTTCTACCTGTAACGCATGGGACGTCAGTATACTACGATTGCAAGAGATCCATGCTTTTTTAGTATATGTTTCATGCAACTCAGGTATAAAAACATGCCTCTTTAGCAGGACGTTCATACAAAATTAGCATAGGAAGTCTCCATACTACAAACGCTTGATTTTTCTCTCCGTGTGATCAGTTGTGATAGATTTCTGACGAGATCCATCCAGAATCGTAAGAAAACTGGATTAAAGTGGTCAGGCGGCCTGACCATTTGTCTGACCATTCCTGATTTTATTTTTAATAGGGTTAGAAACAATAAAATTAATTTACATGGAATTTAACTGTTGATATTGTTTTTAAACAAGTTAAAAAAATTTGCGAGTATTTTTCTTTTCAAAAGATTGAAATTTAAAGAAAAAATTGTAACTTTTTAATTTTCAATATTTTTAGCAAAAAATTTATATGAATACTCTAAATGATTGCTGCATTAATAAAAAATAAATAAGCTTATATTGTAATTTGTAATGAACGAAATTTTTTTTTTAATTAAGCGCACACCTATAGGTAAAATTTTTTTTCCCACCACCGATTTCGAATGCTTTACAATCAAAGCTAAGCTTTGATGATTTAATTTAGATTTCTAATCAGTGACCTTAGAAGCCCTGAAATTTGATATAATACTTTAAATTTAAAAAATTAGTCTTTTAAATTGACACAGCAGATTCTGAAATTTATCTACAACACACAGATATTGTGTTTGAGTATGAGTTTTACTGGAGGTGGCGCCAATTTGAGTTAGAGGACGCTGAGGAACTAAAAAAGTTACATAACCTAAACTCAGTCTAAACTTTATATATTATTTATTAAAATCATTTTCTCGCAAAGTTATTGTAAATAAAAAGGAGAACCTCACATTCTCTATCTGAACACAAAATATTTTACCTTTTGAAGATGAGAAGTAATTTCATAAACCTTTTTTTCACCATGTTTAAAGTTTTTTTAACGATAATTATTTATAAAAATTATGCAAAATACCGACAAGTGTGCCTGTCAGTATTACATTATTTTATTTAGACAATTTTTTAAATTAACTAATTTATTCCAATCCAACCTGAAACAAATTTGTTCCATTGTTTAAACAATTTTTTAAATTGTCCAGTTCAATTCAATCCAACTTGAAAGATAGAAGCACGACTGACAATTTTATAACAACAGAAAATTTAGATTTCAAAAACCTATTTTTTACTTAAATTTATGAAATAAAACAATCGTTGTAAATTAAATGTTGATTTTAATTTTAAAAATAATACATTTTATTAGTTATCAGTTCTAATTGAAAATACACGTTTACTGAAACTTTTTTCAAATAGAAGACGAATATAGTTGAACACTTAAATGAAAAAATGTGTAATGTGAATAAAACTGAAAAGAGGTACTATGATGTAAATGCAAATTAATATCGAGTCGTAGTATCTGTTGATATAAAGACAGAATCAAGGATGATATTAAAAATATCGTATAAAAATCATAGTATCAAATGGCTCTTTTCGTGTACAATAACCGTCTTTTAGTGTATTATTTAAAGTTTAAATAATGCCTTCATCAATATTTTCAACAGTATATCAACACAATACACTATTTTTCCAAACCTTATTTTTTAGCATCGAATTACATAATATCAATCAAAAGAATAAAACTTATTTAAATTTTACATAAATACTGTTTATTAATATTATTATTCATTATTATTATTATTTTACCATCATCAAAATCAGCATCAATTCTAATAATCATGAAGAATAAGAAATAATTTAGAGGTAATTTACAAACTACGTCTGTGATGAACATTAGAAAATTGGCAATTGATATTTAAGAAACTTAATGTTGAGAGGTTAGAGGTTATAAAATAAGGAGACGTAGAATGTGAACAACCCCTCACATGGTACTTTTTTTTAAATAACACTTTTAGTGACAATTTTCTTTAAAAGAGGGAATCTGCACGCAGTCATATATTATAAACCGATCATTTAGTTACACTGTTGTCAAAACAAATTAATTGCTTATATCTGAATATTTATCCTCGTCGGAAATGAAATTTTTCCTAATAAAGTAAGTACCATGTTGGTATGTGCATGTGTTGTGTATTTGCACCTTTTCAACTGTGGATACACGTAGACATTATTAGAAATTGGACGAGAGAAACTTTAAAGCAACTCGAACTCCGCTAACATGACAAGTTCTTTCCGTTAAACGTTAGAAGACATGCATGTGAACTAGCTCATGTCACAGTACATCTTCGGATATAGCCCTTAATGTATTAATAAAAATAATTTCAGCTTTAGCGAAAAAATGAAAATTGTTTTCGTTCGCTCTCTACACCATATAAAATAATTATATTAAATCGTAACATTAATTACTAATTGTTAGTTTAGATTTTAGAAATATCCATGGGACATCCACTCGATGTATTTGCCTGAATAATATTAGCTGATGATGAACTTCCTGGGCTAACAATAGTAGGTGGAATCGCTGGTTTGACAAATCGATCAGAAGCACGCCTGCTGGAAGGCGCTATTATGTGACTCTATAAAATAAAATAAATTGTAATTAATGTGTATTGTTTACAAACGTATTTATTTATTTATTTATTTTTTTTTTATCAAATAGATTTCAATATTTAATTAATAATAATAAAGTACAAGTGACATAATCTATTTCCACTACTTCAAATTCTCTAATACTAGAAATCAAAAAACTATTCTCAAAAATTATTATAAAATTCTTTGAAACGATTCAATTATTTTCAATATCTAGTATTTTCATAAAATTTTGCAAAAGAATTCAAATATTAAAAAAAATTGATAAAATTCAATTATTTTTATATATAATAAAATTTCCACAGGAATTCAATTAATTTAGAATATCAATTTCGAAAAAATCAATTATTTAAGAAACATTTTATACAATTCTTCACAATAATTCAATTACTTTCACTAATAAAAACATTTTTCATGGAATTCAATTTTTAAAAAAATTTTTTGATAAAATTCTTAGAAACAATTCAATTATTTTCGTAAAATATAAAACTCATCGAAGAATTTTAACTATTTTTAATATTATTTTTAATTAATTAATCGATAAATTCAATTATTTTCACAAATATAGTTTTCTACAAGAATTCAATTATATGAAATAAAATTTTCATAATATTTATTATATTTTAAAAAAGTTAATGATTAAAAACAATATTTATAAAATTCTTATAGAGAATTGAATTGTTTTCAAAAATAACAAAATTTTTCACAGAAATTCAATTTTTTTTTAAAGATTTTAATAAAATTTTTCGCAATAATACAATTATTTTCACAAATAGTAAAATTCTTCTCAGGAATTCAATTATTTTTGAAAATTTTAATAAAATTCTTAGCAACTATTCAATTATAATATTTTCATAAATAATAAAATTAATCGCAAGATTTCAATTATTTTTAATACAATTTTACAGGAATTGTTCAAAAAATGTTATTATTCTTAAATATTTTATTTCAATTCCTCGAAAAAATCAATTATTTAGAAAAATGTTTCTTTTTAAATTCTTTGGAAGAATTCAATTATTTGCAAAAATATTAGAATTTTCCACAGGAATTCAATTATTTTCAAATATTTTAATAAAATTGTTCGCAAGAAATCATTTATTTTAAATACATACAATTTTAATTAAATTTTTTTGAAATAATTCAATTATTTAGATTTTAATAAAATTCTTCCCAAGAATTCAATTATGTCAATAAATAACAAAATTATTCCCAAAAATTCAATTATTTTAAGGCATTTTAATAAAAATGTTTGCAAAATTCAATTATTTTCATAAATAACAATATTCATCACAAGAATTCAATTATTTTTAAAAGTAATAAATTTCTTCTTGGAAATTCAATTATTTTAAAAAATTCTAATAAAATCGTTCGAAAGAATTCAATAATTTTCATAAATAATAAAATGCTTTTTATAAATTGAGGCCTTGGATCCAATAACTCGCCCGACGCTCGGAGGAACGCGCAACTGCCAGTCAGTGAGCAGTGAGCGCCTCTGGGCCACTCACTGCTACCCGACTGGTATTAGCGCGTTCCTTCGAGCGTCGGGCGAGTTATTGGATCCAAGGCCTCAATTCAATTATTTAAAAAAAATGTAATAAAATGACACACAGACATTCTATTATTGTCAAAAAATTTAATAGAATTGTTTGTAAAATTTAATTATTTTTAAAAACTTAATTTAGCAATTCAATGATTTTTAATATCACTATTTTAATTTCTCAGGAATTCAATTATTTAAATTTGCATAAAGTTAGTCAAAAGAAACAAATATTTAACATTTTTTTATAAAATTCTTCGCAAGAGTTAAGGGGGATTCCACGGGTAAATCAAACAGTTGTACGTGAGAAGTTACCGATTTGTCTCAAAGTTTTTAGGCGTATTCTACCTTCAAAAATAGTGATCTAGCCAAAATTTTAAGTCCCTATCTCATAAAGATCACTCACAATCTTCAATTTCATAAAAAGTGACATTTTTGAAAACTAAGATTAAAAAATCCATTTTTGCTTGAAAAAATGTCAATTTTGGTCTAAAAAAAATCGGAAAAGTACTAGTCGATGGGAAATTTTCCAAAGAATCCAATGCCGTTGAAATTTTTGAGATATTTCAAAACGCATGCGCAGTAGATTAAAAAAACTACCTTTTTTAAAAAAAATGTATAACTCAAAAACACCTTTTTCAATTTGGCTCAAATTTTTAGGAAACATAGTAGAAAAGCCATACTTTAAAATGATTATTCCGGAAATCTGGGTATTTTGAGTTTTTAGCCTTATTTTTGCAAAATAGTGAGATAATTCGATTTTTTTCAATGTTTCCTTACGATTTTTGCCTTTTTGTGCCCATACGCAGCTATATAGAAAAAATCTGAGCCCAAATTCACAATTCTCGGAAAATTTCCAATCAGTTATCTATATTGAAACTTATTTTTATTTATTTTAGACAAATTTTAACAGCAAAAACAAATACAAGTTATAATTAAGAATATTAAAAAGGTGCGCATGACGATTAGGGTGGGCCAAAAAAGCAAGAAACCCCTGCAATTTGTTCCAATAATAATAAATAAATATATATTTATATTATATATATTATATTACCGAACCACCGAGAACTTCAATTTTCCCATATAAAATGCATGGGAAAAATTTAAATTTTCGAAAACTCATAATCATTTGCGAGGGTTTCTAAAAAGTTAACATTAAGCTATTAGGATTTATAGAGGGCTCTCCGCCAAGTAATTTGACATATATAACTTCCAATTTTTACCACCCCTACCTTCTACAGCACTGCCCTAAAGTTACCCCTTTTTTGGATATTTATAATTTAACGTGTTTTTGTGGTATAATATATATCGATTTTTAACGTTTTTTGTCGGATCTTGTGTTTATAGAAAAATACGTATTTCTTTTTATTCTTATTGGAACAAATTGCAGGGGTTTCTTGCTTTTTTAGCTAACCCTAATCGTCATGCGCACCTTTTTCATAATCTTAATTATAACTTGTATTTCTTTTTGGTTTTAAAATTTGTCTAAAATAAATAAAATTAAGTTTCAATATAGATAATTGATTGGAAATTTTCCAAGGATTATGAATTTGAGCTCAGATTTTTTCTATTTAGCTGCGTATAAGCACAAAAAGGCAAAAACCGTAAGGAAACATTGAAAAAAATCGAATTATCTCACTATTTTGCAAAAATGTGGCTAAAAACTCAAAATACCCAGATTTCCGGAATAATCAATTTAAAGTATGGCTTTTCAACTATGTTTCCTGAAAATTTGAGCCAAATCGAAAAAGGTGTTTTTGAGTTATACATTTTTTTTAAAAAAGTAGTTTTTTTAATCTATTGCGCATGTGTTTTGAAATATCTCAAAAATTCCAACGGCATTCGATTCTTTGGAAAATTTTCCATCGACTAGTACTTTTCTGATTTTTTTTAGACAAAAATTGACATTTTTTCAAGCAAAAATTGATTTTTTAATCTAAGTTTTCAAAAATGGCACCTTTCATAAAATTGAAATAAATAAAAAAAATTGAAATAAAATTGAACTTGCAGCAAACTTGCACTGCAAGTTTTGCAAGATTGCAGTGCAAGCTTTCTGCAAGTTTGCAGCAAACTTGAAATGTCTGGACTGCTGCAAACTTGCACTGCAAGCTTGCAGAAAGTTTGCACAGCAAGTTTGTAGAACGCTTTCAGCAAACTTGCTGCAACCTTGCTGCAAAGTTGCAAAATCTTTTTGTATGCATAAAAAATTATGTTTTTTTTTACCTTTTTTTGCAAATAATTTTAATTTTATTGAATTTTAAAAAGGTACAAAAAGCAGAATTTTTTATGAATATATAGAAAAAATTTGCAACTTTGCAGCAAGATTGCAGCAAGCTTGCTGTGCAAACTTTCCACAAACTTGCTGTGCAAACTTGCTGCAAGCTTGCAGTGCATGTTTGCAGCAGTCCAGACATTTCAAGCTTGCTGCAAACTTGCAGAAAGCTTGCACTGAAATCTTGCAAAATTTGCAGTGCAAGTTTGCTGCAAGTTTGCAGCAAGCTTGCGTGCTATCTGGGGAGTGATCTTTATGAGATAGGCACTTAAAATTTTGGCTAGATCACTATTTTTGAAGGTAGAATATGCCTAAAAACTTTGAGACAAATCGGTAACTTCTCACGTACAACTGTTTGATTTATCCGTGGAATCCCCCTTAAATTATTTTTATAAATATTTAAATTCTTTGATGAATAATAAAATTCGTTGCAGGAATTCAATTTATTAGCAGGATAAGAAAGAAGTAAATATTTTTGATGAAAATTAGGATAAAGTCAGGAAAATAAAATATAGAATGAAATTCTTATTAGTTTTGTGAAGTGTCTAAAACGAGTTTTTTGGTCGTCAGGTTTATTTTTTCGAAAGCTACTTTTTTATTACTTCTTTTAGTTTGAAAGCTACTTTTTGCTACTTTTTTAAAATAAAATATTGAGTGCAAAGTCTGGAGAATGTGTAGTAAATTTCAATAATTATTAATAATTATTTAAGTTTAAAGCTGTCAAAAAAGCAAAAAAAAAAGTACAAAATAAACAAAAAGAAACAGAATAGTATGGTAAATGAAAAAAGAAAAAAAATGTGGATGGTTTTACTTTTTACTGATAGGAAAGCGAAGAAGTTACTGATGTCGCACGCACGTTTTTTTGCTAGTTATTCATAATTTATTAAGTAAGTAATAAGGGGCCGTACACATAATACGTCACGCGGCTAGGGGGAGGGAGGGGGTCTGAGAATTGTGACTAAGTGTGACATGGGGAGGGGGGGGGGTGAACTCATGTGTTACGTCACAATCTTTTAAATTCAAAGATTATAAGAAATTATATGTGACAATGTCACTTTTTCTAAATAAAACAAGTTAAAAATGCTTTAAACTATTTAATATCTATTATGTACCTGTTTAACATCTATTGGCATATTATTTATAATATGATATATAATATATTCTCTTAATTTGAATCAGTTAAAAATCATGGTTTTAACTGAGAATCAGCAGTGACTGACTTTTTGCTTCTAAATCAGTTAAAAATAACTGAAAAATTATCCACAAAACACCGAAATTTTTCTAAATATTGTATATTAAAGATTTGCTTGCATAATTCGAAAAATTTACTTGCAAAGTTTATTTTAAAATTGTGTAAAGATTTAAATTTCTCACTCTAATAAATGTCTATCGTCAAATTTTCTTAAAAATATAGCTTGAAACTTTCCTGAACATTTGAATTGCATTTTCGACTATACTTTTGTGAAAATTTTCCTAAAAATTTAACTTAATTAATTAATTTAACTTTTCGCGCTAAACATTTATTGAAGTGGGATATTTAAATCTTTACACAATTTTCACTAAACTTTGCATTTAAATATTTCGAAGCTTGCGAGTAAATCTTTAGTAAATTTTTAGGAAAGTTTCGGTGCTATGTAGGTAGTTAAACGTGACTAATTGAATCAATCAATAACAATTGTATTGAAACATCAGTTATTTTCAACTAATTGTCAGAAAAAAATATTACTATTTGAATTAGTGACTGATTTTTTGCTTCTAAATCAGATATTCTTAACTGATTCAATAATTTAGAGTGTAAGATATAATATACATATATATTGTCCAATGTATAAAATTTACAGTGAAATTTACGTGTGTGACGTGACGTAGGGGGGAGGGGGGGTTCAAGATTTGTGACGAAGTGTGACATAGGGGGAGGGAGGGGTTAAAAATGGTCAAAATGTACATTATGTGTACGGCCCCTAATTAATATTGTTCAAATTAAAATTAATGATTGGTCAATTAGAAGAGGTTATTTTATGATATCAAAATGTGACTATTTTGTGTTATAAAAACATTTTTATCATTTTGTGATCATTCGTTTCTAATTTAATACAAAATTTTAAAAATTCCTATTAGCTTATCATTTTATTTTAATGTATTGTATGATATTTTCATTCTCATGTCTCAAATCGAAATAATAATTTAATAAAATTACTTACACCTGAAGGAGGAGATGAACTTGCAAATGGAAGATTAACAGATTGACCGCAAGCATAACACCGATTTATGTTACCAGTTTCTCGAGAAGTTGAAGTCATTGCATTTATACCTGAAAATAAATTGAAACATGAATATATAAAGGAAAAATTTCGAATGGAACAGAAATAAAATATATGTAAGTATTCTTTCAGAAGATATAATAAGCAATTATAACTACTTCTACATAGGTCTCTATTCATAAAGACTAATAAATATCTCTTATTTTTTTGCTTTTACGAAACCTCAATTTTCGATCTTTTTTTGACTTACCTGGACTAAGAGGTCTTGAAGAACTTGGAGATGCATTATAGGGCACTGGACTTGACACATTTCGACTTCTTATACTTCCACCTGACATGACAATTTCATTGTAATGACGTTCTTCTTCCATCTCCAAGCTAGAAAAATTATAATATTCAAGTAATATTATAGTTAACGACAAAGATTTAGGAATGTGAAAAATATTATTTTTGAAAAATAATTCATGGCAAACAGTTTTTAAATTTATCAATTCAATTATTCCACTATATAAAAATTTTTTTACCTTGATTCTGATTCAGATAAATGTCTACATAACGCTTCACGTCGTTCCACTTCAAGTTGCAGTTTCCTTTGGAGCCTTAGATTCTCTTCTCGAATTTGTTTTTCTTCATTTACATAACGCTGCATTTTTTCTGTGTCTATTAACAAAAAAAATAAAAAAACTTATTAAAACATGTAGAACAAAAAGGGCAAACTACAAAACTGCTTGAGCTCGAATGGACTTGAAGAAATATCGACTCGGCTCGTCTATTCGATGTTCTTCAACATCTCCACAAATTTTTTCTCTAAATCAATTGGTTTTAGGTACAAAACTACATTTTAATTTTTTTTTTAATTTTCAAGGTGAAAAAGAAAATTTAAGGACAATTTTATGGATTTCAGTGTTTTCAAAGTATACTAAAAGTCAAAATTTTTGTAGCACTTTTAGAAATTTTATATTTTTCCACTTCATTAGATTTATTCAATGAAGTGGAAAAATTGCTCTTCCTCAAACTCAAAAATAAATTTTAAAAAATATTTAATACTTTAAATTTGTTTTAATCAATAATAAAATTTGATTTCTCAATATTGTAAAGAAAGTTGTCAACAGTGGTGCAAAACAAAGCCGTTTTTAAGTATTAAAATAAAATAAATAAAGGTTTAGTACCAAAAATAGGTTCCAAATTAAAGCCAATTGCAGGGCTCGAAGCAGTGAAAGTATTTAAAAATACGGACTTTACGGACCAAAAATGAAAAATTTCGGACCATTTACGGACCAATTACTGACAAAAAATATAACCAGTCCGAATCAAATAAGAGAACATTTTACTTAAAACTACACTGAAAAAAAAGTGCTGTTGAATCAAATAGCTCCATGCTATTGAATTTCCCGTCATTGATTCAATGACACGATTATTAATCGAAAAGTATATTGCTTAAAAGGAAAAAATGAAACTATTTAAATTAAAAGTACGGTACTGTAGAATTAATGATATTGTGCAAATTGTTTCTGTAGTTCATCTACATATACCAACAGAATAATTTATTGCTTCTTTGACATTTTATTAAAACAATTAAATTAAGTAAGCAATTAAAATGAAAATGAAACCGAGGCCTGAAATTGCATTATAACTCAGTAATAATAAAAATCATTGCCAAACTTACGCTCTTGTTGAGAGATCAAAAGATTGTGCCTCAATCTGACCACTTCGCTTCTTAGGGTTTGTATGTGTGTGCTTAGATTTGTAGCAGTATCACCGTTGTTAATTTCTCTCGGAGAAGTTGGATCCGACACCGGCTGATCTAGTTTAATTTGAAGCATTCTTTTCTCAGCTTCAAGCTTGTCCATTCGTTTCCATAATTTATTGACTAGAGCTTCTTGTTCTTGCTCCAATGTATTTTCCAGTTCCACTTTCTCTCTGCGCAGTTGTTCCAAATTATTTTGCTTAGCAAGAGTTTCAGCTTCTAATTTCTCAATTTTTCTCATAAGTTTGTTAACAAGACATTCCTGCTCTTGTTCCAAAGTCTGCTCTAAGCGACATTTCTCTTGTCGCAATTGATTTAATTTACGTGACAAATCATTCGTTAGACACTCTTCTTCTTGTTCATAATGATGAGCCAATGTCTCTTTTTCTTTTTTCAGAGCTTGTATTTTTTTCAATAAGGTATTGCTTATGAACTCCTCCTCCTGTTCAGCTTTAGCTTGCTAAAATAAGAAAAGAGTATTACATATGTATTACAAACAAGAAATTTTATTGTAATAATAATTACATAACTTTTTTTAGGTGGTTGGTATTATAAACATTTGCCTTGATGAGAGTTATGAATGATTGCGTTCAATAAAAATTCTATTCAATAAAAATCGATATCAATAAATATTATGTTTAGTGAAAATTCGTTATCTCACTAAACTTAATAAGTTTAGCCTTGAACTTCCTACCCTTAAAATTACCAGAATTCGTACAAATTGGAATTTTTATTTCTCTTAATATCTCAACGTATTTTGGTACCCTGAAAACGAGTCTGATGTCTGTTTTTCTTCATCACGTCAGGATTTTTTCCTAACCTCAAAAAATATAACAACTTTTTGGGGGTACAAGAATTTTTTAGAAATTGATGAACTTTTATAAAACTGGGTATTTAGAGATTTTGGGGGTCGCTCTTTACTAATTTGAAGTAAGATTTTAAAAATTTTAAATAGCGAATCCAAAATGTCAGATAATTTTTTTTTAAATTATTATTGTTTTATGAAATTGTTTTTGAAACTAATGTGTGTGCAGAGTTACTTGCGACTTATCGGGGTCTCTGATTACGTATAAAGTCAAATTTTTTAAATTAAAAATGATTTATAACAACGCATATTTTTTAAGAATTGTTAGAATTTGAAAAAATTTAATAAGACTATGTATTTTAGTTCCTGAGAATGAAGCGAAAGTCAGGTTATTAAATTTTTAAATATCACATACAGCTTCTATTTGTTGACTTACATAAGACTAAAAGTCAAACTGAATGATGATGTTTGGATGGCCCACAAATTAAAAAAATAGTAAAATGGTAATAATATGATTTGATACTGTATTTTTAGATGACCCTCTGTTAATCAAAGGATTAATATCTAGATTACTTTTGCTGGATGTTCAATGCTAATTTCACTAAAATCAATATTTTTTAAATCCCCTACGTGTTTCTCTAGCTATTCTCATGTAGATAAAGAAACAAAAATTTATTTAGTTCCAGATTCAATTTTGCACCCTATGTGCTGCGTTCTGCTGAGCTCTTCAAAAAAAGCATCTTATTAAAATGTCCGTAACTCCGCCATTTTGTATTTTTTTTTTTAAATTTATATTTTTTCAGTTCAATATAAGACATCAAAAAAAATTCTTGGAAACTGTTGTTTTTTTTGCGTTTACAGTGGCCTTACCCCTAAAAAAATTCATGAAAAACAGGTTCAAAAGACAACTCAAAGTTGTCAGTCCCCCTTAATAAAAATGTGAAAAATTTATACATATTTTAAAATAGGTACTTATTTATTAAACACGAAAATTTATATAAATTTAACCTGATTTCTATTGAACTTTCGTTTTCATAACTGGACATCATCACTTTATTATTCATTTAAGGAAAATGAACCTCAGTTTAGTGTTATGAAAATAAAAATTCAATGGAAATCAGGTTAAATTTATATAATATTTCATATTTAACAAATAACTAATTAGTTAATAGTTGGGTGTTATTTCACTGAGTTATTTGAAGCAAAAAAAGATAAAGTAGACATAAAAAATTTTAAGGGACTTTATTGTGAATAATTTTAGTATATATTTCCTAATTTAGGAAATAACAGGAATTTACAACTTTTGCAACGGACCGACAAAGCAGTCCCTTTTCATTTTTTTCTAACAACGAAATAAAAATAAAGTATCAATAAATTAATGAAAACTGCATAATTCGACGTGTTAGACCCTGCAGATTGAGAAAAAAGAATAAAAAAAAATTCGGTACTTTTCTTCAAAATTAGTAAATTGTGATTATCTCGGAACACACAAAAAACCTGGGTTCATTTTTGTTGGAAGTCGTACATCTGTCTATAGATAATGTTATTAAGAAGCTACAGTTAAATTTTAGAGTAAATCGTTTGAGATTTGTGAAATTTATGTATCCGGTCAACTCAAACAAGTAGTTCTGAGAAAAATGCGTTTAAAGCACTTAGATTAGGAGAATACTTCTGCCGAGCGCGTAGTACAAGACCACGATCGGGATCAAATTCAAGCAATTAAAAAGTATTTTCATAACGCGGTGCAAAAAAGGGCACTTTTTTGCACCTTCGCCTACAGTTTGTTCCGAAAAAAGTGCTCATTCAAAAATTGACAACTGCTCGCACTCGTTACGAAATATACTATTTCACTTGTAATTCATTTATTTTATGTACTCTTAGACACCTTATAAAGAAAAAAACTTTTTTAAATTTTTTGAAAATTCTAGAGTGGTTTAACCTCTTAACCGTTTTGGAGAATCATTTTCAGATAATTCTCCTTTATTTTGATGAATTTAACAAATATGTATATTTAAAATAAAAAACAGTACCTATACATTTTTCTATTTTTAATGATTTTTACTGAGTTGGTGTATAATGGGTTATGTATGATTGCGTAACCTGTAAATTATTTTAAAGAATGTAAAACATACTTAGTGACATAAAACACCAAAATATAGTCAAATTTTATCAACAAATATTATTTATTAATTATATTTAAAAATTTTTTTAAATCATCACAATATTTAATTGAAAATAGAACTCATCATAATTTTAAAAGGAAAACGGGTTTTTAGTGGGTCGGGCTGGTAGTAGGTCGACAGTTTATTAAATTTACTATAATATATATATTTATTTATCTTTTTTTTAATATTTCCTTTTGTTTCACTTTACCAACCCCACATAACCTTGGAGTGCGGAATCCAAGGTATCTGTAGGCAGATTTCCCAAAAGTCCCTAAGCAAAAAAAAAAAAAAAACTTTCTATAACTTTTATTTCTTTACCAAAATCACAAATGTTTAAAAAAAGTTAAAAACTTTGCATAATTTTCATTTTTTAATCACGATTTATTAACAAAACTTCAAGTTTTTTTATAAGGATAATTCTTTGTAAATTAGTAACTTTTGATTGCGGTAACTTTTTATTAAAAAATTAATTTTTTGAAAATTTTCTATGCAAATCTTTTTAATAAATCTTAAAAATAAATATTTTGTTGGTATTTGGGTGTAAATTAGCTTTTTTTAATCTTACATAAACCATTTTAAAATTTTTAGTTTAGAGGTAAAATAATTAAGATGGAAAAAGTAAAGTTTTGTTCATTAATAATATAAAGAGTTTAAAAAACAAGTAAAATGTATTCTGAGCAAGCACATAATTTTCAAGACTTACGCCTAAATTCAAATGATATATAAGGTATAAATAAAATTATATAGTGGTCACCGATTAATTTAAAAAAATTGTAATATCCTGCAGAAATGATTTTGGTGTTACTAAAGTCACAAAATAAAAAGATTTTTGCAAAATAATTTTATATCTTTTGTAAAATATAAATTTAAAATGTAAGAGAAGCTAAAAACTGTCAGTTTTCTGCCAGTAGAAAATAATTTAAAGGGAATACAATTTAGTACAAAAATATTACAAAAATTATTGGTATTTGTTAAGAATGTCTAAATTTATTATTATAAATTGATATAAGCATTTAAAAATATAAAATAATAAATTAAATATTATACCAAAGTTCATCATTAAAGTAACCTAATTATGGGATTTTTATTAACAAATAATGGGGAAATGGGATTATAAAATTAAGAAAAAACTTACGGAATATTAAGTATTTGCAATGAACTTTCAGTTTTTGTTTAAAGTTTTCTTCCATTTTCTCGTTGAATAAAAAATATATGTAAAATAAATTTGGCAATAAAGTATTTTTTCTTGAAGCACATTCACAAGATGTTAAATGGCACATGCGAAAATATATGCAAGTACTTTTCAAATACTTTTATTTGATTTTCGTGGAGTATCACTTGAATTACGGTCGTTTTCAAATTTTGTACGCACGTGTTTTCTGTTATTTAAATTACAACAGTTTTTTGAAGACACGAGGCACATCAATTTACTATGTCTCAAAATAATTCTAATAATTTGAACTTTTCTTTCCCGTAAGTCATTTTGATGTGCCATTTGTCTTATAAATGAAAAATGATAAATATATCGATTACGATCAAAAAGGTTAAAAGTGAGGGACAACCGAGGGGACAACTTTTAAAAGCTTATAACTTTTTTCACAATCAACAAATTTTTAATTTTCATACGGAAAAGTGTTCACTGTTTAATTAACTTTAAAAAGATGCGTTTTAGAATGAGTAATTCTTATTCATTACAAGTAAATATTGTAAAAAAATCGGGCACTCAAATTGGAATAATTATTGATCTATTTAATAAATTAATGTAAAACCTTTTGGAACTGATTCATCTTATCAAGCTTTAATATTTCCAACAAAAATAAAGTAAAAAGTTATTGAAATCATCGAAATATATGCGAGGGACATGAAAGTTAAAGGTTCCAGAGATATGCCCTTATATCAATTTATAATAATAAATTTAGAATAAAAATTTGAATAAAAATAATGAAAATCCATGAGCGGAGTGAAGAATCTTCCATAAATAGATGTAAAGAATTAGCATAATTTTTTTTGATTTAATGGCTTTTTGCAAAGCAGATAGCCAGAACACTATATCACAGAATATTAGCATAATTTATATATCAATACTGTTTATACTATTAAATAAAAATTTATTTTATAATCATAATTGTTATGAAATTATATTAGTTTATTTTCGAAATGATGTTTTTATCATACCGAACTTCAAAATTCTGCGTAACTCGGCAATTTTTACACCTAAAGTTACGTAAGACCTCTCAAAACTTTTCAAATTTGGCAAAAAATCCACTCATTTACTTTTAAGTTCAATAGTGCCAAATGGTCTCTTTTCATTTTTTCAGTCAGAATTACGTATTTTAAGGACATACTTGTACTCAATTAACATTTTCGTACTTGACCTTAATTTACATTCTCGTGAAGAGGCAAAAAAATTCTCAACCAAACCTTTAAAAAATAAAAATATGACTTCTGAATTAATATTTAATATGGTTGGCGCAAAAATTTTATCAAAGGAAATGTCAAGTCATCACAAAAAACATTTCCCCAAATAGCAAATATCTAGTACAGATTATGAATACCAATTTCATCGAAAAATAAAATCCACCAATGAAAGCAATTGAACTGAAAAGAAATGTGATTAGTTAAAACAAAAAAATCAGCAATTTTTTATAAAAAAAAATCAGAGTTAAATTTTCGTATTCGACTCCCTTGATGAGTATTCCAACAGCAATCTGTGAATGTAATGTGAAGAATCAATAAAATCTTGAACCGCTATGGAAATGCAACTTTGGAAAATGGAAAAATCACGACTTGTAAATTAGAAAACACTGAATAAAAGAAAGATGCTGGTTTTTTGAGAAAGAATATGGAACTTGATGTAACACTCACTATAATGACAGAAGCTTGTCGTAGGCTGCGATTTTCTTCCTGCAAGGCTTTCACCCTAAGCTTGTATGTGTCTAATTCGACTTTTAATACGCGATTTTGTTGCTGAAGTGATTCTATTCTTTTTTGAAGTTGCTCACGAGTTATTGGAGACGGAGGCATCATAATTGGACCGCCGTCAATTGAACTTGAATCACTTTCGGATGCGCTATCACGGTCAGCCATTTTTTCTCCTTTCAAATTCTATGGAAATTTTATACTATATATAATAAAATTTTAAATCATGTCTAAAATATACTTTTATTTTTATAAGCTCTATTAGTATCTCATTGAAAGCACAATATTATCACACTGACTGCAGTATTAAAAACAATGATCGGTTTTTATTGTTCGTCTTATAAACACGTGCTCCCTAATAAAAATAAATCAGCTGTTTGATGAATTCTAAATCATGGAGTATAGACGTGAATAGAGCAGTACAAGTGTGAGGACGCAGCCTAGAGTTGCATTGTTAAGGTGCATTTGCATCTCTTAGGGGATGGGTACATTTGCCGAAAAATGAACAGAGCATAATGACTATATTACGTCCAATTCACAATTGTAGAATCATTATGCAGCATTTACACGTTACACCTGGTTATACCTTCGGTAAATATTGTCCAGAACAGAAAATCCACATTGGAGTAAAAGAGACAGATACACAGTCTGTCTCTCTTACTACAATATAGACTTTCCATTCTGGACAATTTTTACAGAAGAAGTGAGGAATTCATAAGAATTCGAAGTTTTTAATTCTTTTGAATTCCGTTTCTGACAAATTCTTTTCATTTTCATTTGGAATTTTAGAAGTTCTTATCTCAAAGTGTTGCAAACTTCAAAGGAATTAAAAGCCGTTTACAATAAATTAATTAAACTTACACTGATTACACAAAATTGTTCACTCTTTTAAATAAAAATATTTGCATGATTGTAAAAATTCCATATTTTTAAAAACAATTTTATAAACAATTTGAATTTTTTATGTACAATTCGTATGAGTTTTATTGCAATTGAAGGGGTAGAACACATAAAATATCCAAATTGTTTATAAAATTGTTATTAAAAATATGAAATTTTTACAATCATGCAAATATTTCCATTTAAGGTTATGTTACTCAGTGGTTAAAAAAACGGTTAAAAGAGTTTTTTGTTTTGTTGTGAACAACAGATTTTCATAAGTTTTAACATTTTAATCCTTGTCTATATCATGCGTCTCTTTCGCGAACCTATTGTGCGTTGGACTTTAGGAAATCAATGAAATTTTTTTAACACAGTTGAATTGGTCTGACCCAATAGGGACCGCCCATAAACCACGTAGCCCCATTTTTGGGGGATTTTGACCCCCCCCTCCCCCATGTAGTACGCTATTACATGTATTAGCGCCATTTTTTCCTCTTGTCATAGTCAATTGCTTGACCCCCCCCCTACTCCTCAAGAGGCTACGTGGTTTATGGATGGCCCAATATGTAAATGCACCCTAAGGCAGTTCAACTTGTGATCTGGGTCATTTTTGCAAAATGGAGGATGGCTGGGGGCCAAGCGATTGGCATCCAACTATCCACCATATTGTTTTCTCCCCACCCAACATGAACTATCTGGACTCACCTTAATAGTACAGTTCATGACAGTAATGAACTGGAGTTAATGACAGTTCGCCCAGCCTAAAATCATTTGCTGATGATTTTTTGTATAATCAAACAGTAGTAATTTAATAATAAATATTTTAAGTTTTTAATTGTTCTTTAACGGTCCTTTAATTTTATCAAGTAATTATGCCCGTAAGTATTCAAATTTTGTACATTAAATGTCTAAGAAATTTACAATAATGTTTTTACCTAGACCTAAATACTTAAACGTCAGTGACAGATAGATAACCTATTAATAAAACAAATTTTCATTTAATCGGAATGTTATAATAAGTGTTAAATAGAAAATATAAATAATTATTTTTTTGTAAAAAAAATAAGATTTACTGTACCCAAAGCCAATTATAAATAACGTGCACTAGGATATTTCAAGCAACAAAAGTACAAGTTATTTTTTACGAAGTGTCTATTCGCCTGTCAACAGGCGAAATAAGAAGAATTTGTTATCTCGCCCGTCATAAAAGAAGAATAGTTTATTTCTCTCTTTGAAAAAGAAAAATTTGCAAAATAAGAAATTGTCGAAATAAAAAAAAACTAGATTAATTCGCTCGTCAGAGAAATTTTGTTAAATTACTATTATTGCTGCTAAACTTTCTTGTTGTACAAGGAAAATTGAATTTCGCAAAAATTATTACTTGATACTTTCATTTTCAAAATAATTTTAAAATTAAAAATAATCTTCATTACGAAAATTGTAATTATTCTAAAGAATAGAAAAAGTAAGAAAATGATTATACATTTACCTTTTTGAACAAAGATTTCCTTATCTTTTAAAACTAAAATAATTGCAATAAGAAATTAATTAAATGTTTGAATAATTTTACTAAATGGTCTCATTTTAAATAACATTTAGGTATACCTACATTGATATAAATTATAATTTTTTTGGAAAACAAAGTACAAAATATCTGTAGTAAAAAAACTAACTGTAACTTGCATTAATTATTTAATTATAATATGTAATTTAATATTTCATGAATCTGTAAATTTGAAAAAATATATATTCTAAATTCATTATTAGAAACAAAGAAAATGAATTTTAGGTAAATTTGAGGCGCATGACTCAGGGTGGCCACATGTCAGTAAAGTTAGGGAAACAAAATTTTTTTCAGTAAAGTCAAGAAAATGTCAGGAAAAAAATTTTTTGTCAAGGAAATTAAGAAAATTGAGATTTTTTTCGACTTTTCTTCCAAACATTGCAACAAAATACCACAATTTTTAGTAAAAAAAAGTGCAACTTATTTTAATTTTTATAATGCGAAAAATAACTATAAACAAATCTTTCAAAAATAGTTTTTGAAAATCATTTTTTAACATAATAAAATTTTTCAAATATGTAGCTATAATAAAAATCTTTTTGAATATGGTTGAAATTTTGTAAAATTTAATTGAAAATAATTAATTTATTTCAAGTATTTTGTTACAATTTTTGAAAATCAATTTTTGAAGAATAAAAGATCTTTAAAGGTAAATTTAAAAATGAAAATTAGCTTCTAATTTTTAAAAATCCAATATTTATAGTATTTTTAATTACATACTTCTAAAAATTCAAATATGTACATACAAAAATAATATTTTAGAATTATTTTTAACATTTTGGAGAAAACAATCATGTTCAAAATTTTTAATTAAAATTCATCAAAAAATTAATTAGTTTTTTTAAGTTATATAAAAATTACATTAAAATATTTTTAAAAACTATAATTATTAGAATTGTTTTATAATAATTTTTTAAGATTCAATTATCTTTGAACAATGTAATAAAAATTTACTTTTTGGACTTATTAAAATTTTTGAGAAATCATGGTCCTGTTTATAATTTATAAAAATTGTTTAAAAATTTGAACATTTTTATTTATATTTTTCAAAAAATTTACCAAATTCTATAATTGTTTGGGAATTTTTGAAAATTGAAAAACTATTATCTTTCAAAAATTATTTTAAAATATCATTGAATTCTAGAAGAACTTTTGGAAAATTATTTAAATTAATTGATTCAGAGTTGAAATTCAGTTGAAAATTGTAGAAAATATTTGAATTCAGGAAGGGTTATAAGTGTAATTTTTAGAAATTATTAAATTTCATAAATTTTACTCATTTTCCGTAAACATTCATATTTTTCTGTGAAAATAATTTTAATGTCAGTAAATTGTCAGGGAAATTGATAAACTGAAATTTATGACCAACCAGATTGTTTAAAATAATTATAAACATTAATTTCTTGGTTATAAAAAATATTCCAGGTTTAGTTTTAGAAAAAAAATTAGAATAAAAAAAAGAAAAATAATTGTATTAAAATATGCAAAACTTAATATTTTCAGGCATACCATTCTAGCTTTACCGATAATAAATCTGCAATTGGCAACTTAGCACTAGTGCCAATAAAAACGCAGTTTAGGGGTCCCGCTCCACCTTACACCGGTGATGAATTAGATATTATTGATGAAGCGTTATATTTCTTTCGGGCTAATGTTTTCTTCCGAACGTATGAAATTAAGGTATAGTATTATTTTACATATTGTCTTTTTATTTTGCTTTAATTAATAAATGTAAATAGTCAAAGTTTATTTTTAATTAATTTTAAGTTTATAGAGATAGTAATTTTAAAAATTTGACTTTTTTGTTTTAGAGTGATGCTGATCGAGTTCTTATATACATCACTCTTTACATTACAGAATGTTTAAAGAAACTACAAAAGTGTGGGAATCAAAATCAAGCCCTCACTGAATTATACTCATTGTCATTATCAAGATTTGACATACCTGGAGATCCTGATTTTCCATTAAATCTAGTTTATGCAAAACCAAATAGTCCTTCTGAAGCAGGTATATTTCAATATATTTCCGCTATAGCAGGGCTCGAACCAGTGAAAGTATTTAAAAATACGGACTTTACGGACCAAAAATTAAAAATTACGGACCGATTACAGACAAAAATATCACCAAAATATAACCAGTCCGAGTCAAATAAGAGAAAATTTTACTTTAAAACTATAAATAAACTTTTTTCATAACTATAAAGCATGAAGAAATCGATCACTCCGAGTCTTCGACTCGGAGTAATCGATATCTTCATGTTTTCTAATAATTAAAAATGACTGTGAAATGAAATCATTATTTTACATTATAAAAATATTGTTACTGCAACTTCTTCAAAATTAATTTCATAATTTCATTCAATTATTATTTTCTACAATTTTTAACCAAAATTCTTCTGTAAATTTCATAATTTTCGAAAAAGTTCTTTTTGAGAATTTTCAATTCCATTTCGTTACAATACAATTTTTGGTAACATTTCAATTATTCAAAAATTCTTCAATTAAATATATTGTAGAAAATTAAAAATTAAAATAATTTTTAAAAAAATTCAAATTATACTTTTTCAAAAAAATTAATTCTACAGAATTGTTAATTAAAAGTATGAAAAATTCAAATTTTCCTAAAACTTTAAATTTGCAAATTTTTCAAAATTCATTAATTGCTAAAAATTCCCGCTATAGTGCTTTTAACTCTTTGCCGTACATTAGTTTTCCCCACCTCAGAAACAAGCAGTTTGACAGTTGAATCACGTGGAAAATATCAGGGCCGAATGTTAGTTTGATTTTGAGGTTATGTTTACATAGGATATTTATGTTTGATAAAAGTCTTTAACAATCAAATTTACTATTTTTAAATTGTAATAAATTACAAATATACATTTACACTTTACACAAAAAATCGTATTTTTAGTGATCAATTAGTATAATTAAATGTAATTTATTGTAAAATATAAATGGGTTCCAATTTTGAGAAGGTACGATACTGCAAGTTTAGACACTTACATTCTCACACATAACTAACTTATCAACACAAGCATAAACGCCTCTTCTCATTGGCTGTTCCCCCAAAAAGGACTCTAGACGACATTTCGTAACATATGAACGGCAAAGAGTTAATATTGTTCAATTATTATGTTAAATTCTTACTGAAATTTATTTTCAAATAAATTTTTATTACAAAATTCTACGAGAATTCAAAGAAGTTTATTAAAATTTTTGAAAATAATTGAATGTCTGCAAAAAAATTTTATAAAAAATATTTAAAAATAATTCAATTCCTGCTTAAAATGTTTTTATTTTTTAAAAGAATTCTGTTATTTATGAAAAAGTAATTTAATTCTTTGCCAGAACTTTATGTAAAAGTTTTAAAAATAATTGAATTTCTGCAAAGAATTTTATTAAATTTTTTTGAAATTAATTGAATTCCTGCTAAAAAATTCGTTATTTTTGAAAATAATTGAATTTCAGCAAAGAATTTTATGACATTTTTTTAAATAATTGAACTCCTGCAAAGAATTTTATTAAATTTTCAAAAATAATTGAATACCTGCTAAAAATTCGTTATTTTTGAAAATAATTGAATTTTTGGGAAGAATTCTGTTATTTATGAAAAAATAATTGAATTCTTGTTCAGAATTGTATTACATTTTTTTAAAATAATTATCGAATATCTGTGAAGAAAATTATGGAAAGTTAAGAAAATAATAAATTAAATTTTTTGTAATTGTATCAAAAAAATTTTTTCAATAATTAAATTTTGTGATAAATTTTATGAAAATAGTAAATATTGAAAATCAATTGAATTGCGAAAGATTTTTAAAAATAATTTAAATTTTGCAAAGAATTTTATTTAAATTACCGTCAACCGGGGCTATTTTGTGCACCAAATAGCTTTTTTTTATTCAAAGATTTATTTAAATTCAGAATTAAGAGAATAAAGAAAATCAACTTTTGATATATGTTGTGGACATCCTTCTGAAGCTTTCCTATAAATTTGGCAAAGAAAAAAATTTTTTTGTCTTAGTTATAGTCATTGAAAGTCGTGCACACAATAACTCCCGGGATGGGGCTATTTTGTGCATCGAACTTTGTTTTCCTATAATGTTGCGTAAACATTTTTTTAATCGTTTCTGCTTCATGAAATCTTTTGTGTATATATTTGAGAGTAAGTTAAAAAAAGAATGACCTAGTAAAATTTTTTTGTAGATATATTATACAAAAAATGTAAAATAAAGCACTAAAATTTTGCTAAAATCTGAATTTACTAAAAATTATTAACAATCTTTCTTTAAATTGTTTACTACGCAGATAGTAAATAACATTTTTTTCTTTTTTAATATATATTTTATAATAATATACTAATATAATTATAAAATGATCGTTTAAACACTTATAAATAACTTTAAAACATCATTTCAATAGGAGCTTTTTTAATAGTTTTGAATGATATTTTTAAAAAACTTAAAATAAATATTTTTAAGGTTAAATAGATAACAATTTAATATCTAATATGCTTTTCAAGTTATTTTAAGAGAAACGAGAAAATAGTTTTAAAACTAATTTGAAAAACTTATAAATATTAATTAATGTTCATTTTTTGAAGTTACGTTGTGCAGCGGCTGAGCTTTTAATCGTTTTAATGATTTTAATTAACGTATTTACAGTTTTTTGACAGAAAAGTAAGACAAAAATGTATTAAAATGATAAACAGAATCTTCTTTACTTACTAAATAAAACATTTATGAAAAATATTTGATTTTTTTAAGTGCACAAAATAGCCCCATGGAATCCTGGTTTTTCAGTTTTTTCCACTTTTCTCTTAAAATAATGAATAAAAAATTAGCGCATTACGTATGTATCATCACAACACAATTGACAACAAATATCTAACTCAGTTTATGAAACACATTAAAACTCTATAAGATTTGGTATAATTTTTCCGAACTTTCAAAATTTTTTAAACAAATTTTCCGTTTTTAGGAATTTTTTTCTCTTAATTGACAAAGAATTAAATAATAACATTTAGTGCTCTCTATTGTCATGTAATCAAACTTTCATTTTACAAAATAGCAGATTAAAATAATTCATTTTAATAATTTTTTTCATCAAAAAACTCGCGTGCACAAAATAGCCCCCGGATGCACAAAATAGCCCCAGTTGACGGTATTGAAAATAATTGAATTTTTGGTGAAAAATTTTACTATTTATAAAAATAATAATTGAATTCTTGACGAGATATTCGTTAAAAATTTTGAAAATAATTGAAATTCTACAGAGAATTTTATTACTTTTGAAAATAATTTAATTTTGCAAAGAAATTTATTAAAATTTCTAAAAATAATTGAATTTCAGTGAAGAATTTTGTTATTTATGAAGATAATTGCTTTAAAACTTTGGAAATAATTAAATAATATTAAAAAAATTTATTTTTATTTATTCTTATTCTTATAGAATCAATGAGGCAGTATTTGCAGCAAGTTAGACAAGAAGTTTCTCAACGTCTTATCAAAAAAGTATATGGAAGTGATGGAAAACCAAGTAAATGGTGGCTGTGCTTTGCCAAAAAGAAATTTATGGATAAATCTTTGTCAGGACCTGGCCAATAATAATCTACTTTCAACACAAAGTACTTTTTTGTTATTTTTCATTTTAAAATAAAATTTATTATGTTTCGTAATATTAAAAACATATTTGGTGTTTTTTAAAGTTTCCTGAATGAAGCAATGAATGTGAAGCAAGATGAGTTTAGAAAAATTTCTATCCAATAGTTCTTGCTCCTCTCTGTTGTCCTTGATATTATATTGACTTCAAAATATAATCAATATTAATCAGTAAAGAATTTTGAAAAAAAGAGAAAAGGTCATAAATATTTTTCAAATCCCGTATGACACAAACTTAAATTAGTTTCCATTTGCTCAAAATGAAAATATTTATAAATTTAAATATTATGTTTGTCAATGGGGCATTCTACGTAAAGCGGACAACTCACCAAATTAAAAAAAATTAAATTTGCTATAAAAATAAGACATAATTTTTTTTCGAATTAATGCATTTAAATGGAATTAAATAATAATAAATCCGCTTTGTGTAGAATGACCCTAATACAAAAATGCAATACTTAAAAATACAAAAGCACATTATTAAAGTATAATATTATGAAATGTTTTATTGTTGACGCATTGAAAAGTTTTTGGCCCTTAATTTTAACAATACAATTAAAATTAATTAATTTAAGAAACTAATAATTAATTTGTGCAACTTTGTTTATATTTCAAAACAATTTGAAAATCAAAATACATTTTCTTTTGGATGAAATATTATACAAAATCGCTTAAAAAATAAACATCAATTTATTTTATTCTTATTTAACAGGATTTTCTCTTTGATACAACTTTTATTTATACCTAATTATTTATTCAGATCTTTTATAAATTAAGCATTAATTTTTATTACGCTGCATTTTTCCATCCCGTATTTAATATTAAAAATTTTAAAAACTAGATTATCGAATTTAGTTATTAATCAAATTTCGAAGAAGTTCGAAAAGGAGTATTTGTCAGTGAAAAACTAAGCTTAACAAAATTTATAATAGAAAAAAAAATTTCTCCCATGAAATCAATTCCATAAAAACCAATAAAGTGAAAATTTCTACATAACTTGAGGTTACATTTGAAAATTTTAAAAAGAAAAGAGAAACAGAACACCCTTAAACACGAATAAGAATTTTTTTAATATGAGGTCCGCATTTGCTTTATGGTTCCCTAAGTTTAGGAATTTTGTATTGTTTAGTTAAATAACCGCTTTTGTACGAAATATATAGTAATTTTTATTCAAAAACGAACAGTTGAAAAAGTATTCAGATTTTTGTTTCTTAATTGAACTTTCAATTTCTATTGTTAATTGATGATAAATTATTATTAAATTAAAATTTAATTTAAAATTTTGACAATACAATTATATTGTATTACTATTAAACAAAGTTAAAATTTTCAAATCTATTATTTACAAATTCAATCTGTGTTAGAACACATTACTTCTATTCAATTTGTCACAGACAAATTTTTAGCAAATATATTATCTAGTTAATTGTTCTCTTTTTGTTCTTCATAACAATACATATATAAATAACAAATTTTAGTATTTTCTCACGTTCACTTCACTCTTATTCATCAGTATTCATAAAATAATTTTTTAAACTTATAGGTACTTTATAAATTTTTTCTATTAATCTACAGATCTTGCATCGTTGATACTACAAGGTACAAATACTTCAAGACCATCAAGATCTTTTGTCATTGTAATTTGACAACCCAGTCTAGATCTAAAACAAAAAAGTATTAATTAGAGGAGAAGTTATTCTATGAAAGATACTCACTTAGAATTAACAAAAATATTCTTTATAATATGCTTAGAATTCTTGAAATTAGTGACGTCAAAAACAAAAAACCATGGTATATGACTTTCATGTCAGATTTTTTTATTTTAGAGTTTTTTTAGTTTATGTTTAAAACTCATTAAACATGTAACATTAAACCTAATCATAAAAATGAAAACTTACGTGTCGGCTAGTTCATGTACTAAATCTAACATGTCAGTTTCATCAGTGGAAGGTTTTTCCGGCAAACTGTCATAAACCTCTTTTGGTAATATTAAGTGACATGTGCTACATGTTACTGTCCCCTGACAAGCGCCTAATTAAAAATACAACAAATTTATGTTGTTTATAAAAATGTCACTTCATCTTGTTTGCATTATAATAAATCAATTTTTAATCAACTTTTCCTTGTTAGGTATAAAAAACTAACAAGTAAGTAAGTATATTTATAATAAAATGACTTACCAAACCCATCCAAGTCTATTTCATTGTTTATAACAATATCCAATAACGTGTCACCAACTTTTCCATTGGCTTCAATTCGTTCTCCATTCGCTCTGACAAATATAACTTTGACTCTAAAAATACAAAAGTTTTATATCATAATTAAGAGGATGAATATTAGGAAATTCGACGTGTAATGTAGATGTAAATAGCTCGGATCGAAATGAAACTTGCAGTATAATCCAGTTGAGTGCCCTGCTTAAAATGTCGAATAGAATGCGGATACATCCCAGATAGACCTTTCCCATTGAAATTGTCTCCGGTTTCTACGAGTTTTATACTACCATGCAAAAGCATTAAATATAATAAGCGAGTTATTTAAAAAATATATACTGTGAGCATAAAATAATTAAAAAGAATTTTTTTAATTTTCGAAAATTGTCAACGCCATTTTAAATCCACCATTTTGAATTTTTTAAATCTAAGTTCCAATTCGTCATTAGCAACCTCAAAAAACCTCAAGGAACAAGTTGGAAGCGAATCCGGTTAGGGAAATCGATTTTTACCAAGTGTCCTAGCTTTTTTTGATAATTTCAGATAGCGACTGCTTCATTAACGAGATTTTCAGTGATTATTTAAGTACTTGTTAGTTCTGAGCCTTAAAATTGAAGGTTTTAGCTTTTATTTAAGCTCTTGTAGAGATTTTTATCATGTTGCGTTTTCTTGTTACGCTGCCTCAAAAAGTGCTAAAAATGCGGTTTTTTGACACTTTAATCTCGTTTTTTATGGGATTGACCAAAAGAAAAAATTTTTCTGTTATATTCTTGTTCAGTGACACCTAAACTTTCAATAAACACAGGGAATTTTAAATAAACACGACATTAACATTTTTTTGTAACTCAGTTATTATACTTATATTAAAAATTTAGTAATATATGTCATGTTTACCATTTTTATTACAATTCTTAAAATAGTCATTATGGGATCATCCATAAAGAATGTGAAACTTATTAATTTCGGATGCCTTTTCCATTAATTATTAACATGAAGCATGATATATTACAGACCCCCCTACCCCCCAAAGTATCATATGCTATACGGACGACCCCTTATTTTATTTGAAATTCAATTTAATACACCAAGATTATAAATTTTGAATCTAATAATTTTTTAGATCAAGTTTTTCATTTCATGACAAATTAGCTTCCTCATTATGATAAACAAATTTCTTCTTTTAAAAATTAATCCTTGAAGTTTTGCGCATCAATACATTTAATCTTTCAAAAACATTGTCAAAATTCATAAAAATTTTTTTAAAAAAAGTCTAACTCAAAAACAATTTTTCAGTAATCACATCAGTATATTTTTTATTTTAATAAAATAAAAGAAGGAATTATTTTTCAAAGGTGCTAAAAAATGTTTTAAAAAAATTAACTTGTAAATCAAAGAAAAGTTATAAGATTTTAATGTTAATGTAATATATATTTATTATAAAAATTGTACGTGTAATTACAAAAATATTTTGTTAAATTCAGGTCTTACAAACGTGTCAAGTGGAAAAAGTTGTCACTTTTTTATTTGCAAAATTATTAAGCCCACGGTCGGAAAACCATTTAAAGACATTACATTGTATTTCAGAAAAGGAAATACAATGAAACAGGAAACTTTTGAAACATAAGTGAGGTGAACAGGTCTTTTGCACTCCTTGCACTTAATAGAATTTATATTATTATACTCATTATATTATTATTTATATGAGGCCTATACTCATGGATACAAAAAGTGGTTCACTCTTAGAAATGAAATCAATTTGTAAAACCATATTAAAATTATTTTCAATATTAGAATAATTGAAAATTATTTTTCAGTAATGATAATAAATATATAAATGCCGAGAACAAATTAGGTATATTGTTTATGAAAAAGTGATAATTTGCAATTTTTTTAATCTTCGAAAAGAAAAAATGAGTGTATGGGTATTTTGAACTTAACGATACTCTTTTTTGGTTGACTATAATATATGATGGACAAAAATAATAGTGGTCGAGCAGGTGGAAGCAAATTTTAATTTTCACCAGGTGAAAAACGATAGGCAGAAATGATAAGAAATTTTCTGTTTTCGTTTATTCTTTTCTCAAATAAATTCTTACAACTTTAAAAAGTTAAAATATTTCAAATTACAATAATGAATGTTTCAACATGACTTAAAAAATATTTGAAATGAGTTCTGCCATAAATTATATACTTTTGAAGACCAAAAAAACATATGAACATTGAGGGACACCACTGACATTTTTGAATAGTGAGAATAAAATCAGCTTATATTTATAAGCAATTACAATCCACTATCAAATCTTCATTAACTGCATATAAGGAGTAAATTTAACACAAATTTATTAAAAATAAAATAATAAGCTGCAAGAAACAGAATTTTGAGGGGACACCACTGACATTTTGCTTCATTTCTCATTTTCGAAAAAGAAAGACTTTATTTTTAAGTTAAAGTCGGTGCGGGTTTTAAACTACGTGTAATACCTGAAAACGAGATTCAATAATATTTAAAAAATATTAATATTATAAACAATTTTTTGATGGGGACACCACTGACATGGTGTGCTCGACAAACTGATACTTGCTTACTGATACTTGCTTTCTGCCACCAACCGTACAAATTATAGATGTGATAGAATGTTGTAATGTTTTTTCTTTAAGAAGCTGTACATATCACCAATACTATTAACGCTTAATAAGGCAATTATCTGCACTAGGTTATTTAAATATCAGGCATGATATTCAAAATTTGCGATAATTACTTAAAAATATGAAACTTACGGACAGGCGATTTTGATTTTTTTTCTAGCACTGCATCAAAATTATTCTGCTAGCACAATTACTATATAAAAATATAGACTCTTAGCTGTACAAAATAATTTTTCTGGTACTATAAATGTGAGAATCAACAATTTTTATTATTAGGTAAAGTAATTCTGATTTCTTAAGTGCGGACAAGGGACACCACTGACATTTTGCTTCTAATTCTTCTGCCAAATTTTTTCAGAGAATTTCTAGCGACTAAGAATTATTAATTTAAGTAGAAGGAGTGATTAAGAAAATTAGTTAATTTACAAAACTTTTATATGAACTATTCCAAATTTTTGGGCAGGACATGAAAATGACATTTTAATTTTAATCACCCATATACACTTCGGAATCATATTAAGAATGTTTTTGCGGTTTTATATATTTATTAAAACAGATATTACAGCATTTTGCCTTTGGTTTCATAAAAATCAGAAAGGTGGTCTACTCATGGAGACATTTCCCTATTAATCTTTTTATTTCAACTACTATAGCGGATTTAAAGTAGTGCAAATTCTTTTTTAAAAAATAGCTTTTAGTGGCATAAATATAAAAAAAGTATCCATACAGTAGCAAATCTTTCAAAAAAAAGTAGTAAATAGTAGGTTTCAGTACATAAGTGTGAAGCCTGTTTTTTAAAGAAATATTATTTATGAGTATCCTACTTTTATCCTATATTAAAAAAATTTCTAAATTAAATAAACAGTTATAGTTCTGATAAATTGAAATATAAAGCAACTAAATTTTTAAGTTTGGAAAAAAATGAAATGAAATTCTTTGTTAAAAATGTGAATGAATGAAATTCAGAATTAATGGAAAGTAGAATTCCAATAATGCCTTATTGCCAAAATGTAAAATTAGGATTTATTATTAAAATATAGAGGAATGGAAATTTGAATAAGTGGAAGATAAAATTGCAACATGAAGTGAAATTAGGTGAAATGTGTGAGAAACTAAAAAAGTGAAAGTGATAGTCCCTGCCACACAGGTGGCTAATTACTTGCTTCGTTATCATGACCAATGTACCCAGTTAAAGTCCCAAATCTAACTTATTTTCAAATACCCGACTAAAATAACAAGCAACTTACTCATGTTCCTTATAAAAAGGTTGGGTGGTGCATGTACTTCTAGTTTGAAATCTATTTTGTACACAATAAGTAGCCCTTGTCCCATTAAAAGCATAATTTCTCATTATGCATGAAACAGGAGATTTTGACATATGCTTTGACAGCAAGTGCAGTTTTTGTAATAATGCCATTAGACTAGATATTATTTACAAGGCAGAAAGGGTATTTATTTTATAAAAAATTATCCACATAAATATCGCATAAATTTCAAGGTTTTAGTTAATTGATTAAATATGGGCCCTTTTCCTAATAGAGTAAATTTAGTTCAACGTTTCAATTACTATCAATTACTATTAATTTGAAAACACTTATAACCTGTTTAAACACTTTCTTTTGTACTATTTATACATTTAAGTGAATTGAAAATTACTATTATTATTTATATTATAAAAAAGTAAAAACTACTAAATCTTAAAAGTTTATTACAACATATTTAGTTACTATTTTCTATAATATATGAATCACAAGATGACAGGTCAAAATAAGACTGCTTAAGGTGTTGGCACATGTTTTCTCTGGTGAGTAACCTTCTGATCTGAAATAAGTGAATTTCCTTTTACAGGAAGTGGATTGCATTCGAGTTAAAAAAGATTTTCTTATCATAAAGATTGTTTGTTTTAAATAAAATGCAAATGTAAAAACTTGCTTAAAAATATGAAAATATAAAGTCCAACGCACAATAGATTCGCGAAAGTCATTCGGGAACGAGACGCATGAGATAGACAAGGACACAAATATATATCTCTATCCTTTTCTAACTCATGCTTTGCGTTCGCGAACCTATTGTGCTTAGGCCTTGATGCATTGCTCAAGATAATTTATCTATTGTGGACTTAACCTTACGAACCTTTAGTTTTAGAAAATCACACCTTTTTACACATTGAGTTGCATCCCATACATTTATCATACACCGTGGTTGTACACAACGTGCTGCAAATGCAGGCATATAGGATTTTAAATAGGATTAATCTGCTTTCTCGACCTAAGCTTACTTACGAACTATTTAATTTTAAACGATTTTTGTCTGTAACCCATATTCCAAAGAAAATGTCTTTTTCTGTAGTTGAACGTGGTACTTTTAATTCAGTTGATTATAGACTTTATATTTGTAAGTATTTTATTTAACATAACTACAATTTTTAAAAGTGCATTTAAATAAATTTTTTTCTCACAACTCCCACAACTTAAGAAATATATATATTTCTATTTATGTAATAAAATCTTTATAAATGTAAAATAAAATGATTAGCTTATCTAGATGAAAGTTAGGTTTAAGTTTCAAGTGGTTTTAACTCATTTTTTACATAGAAAACTGTTTTTACAATACTAAACACATAATAGCTGAAAATTGATATCGATAAGTTTCTGCATATTTACTATAGAACTTAATCATTATTTTTTCATATTACAAGAAAAAAGTAGATGTTCATAGTTTCATAACTATATTATAATGAATGACTTGCTATTTGTGTGCGTGAGAATATTCTCGTATGAATTGCGCTAATAATTTGAAACATTTTATAAAATTGCTAAGTGCATATGGGCAATTCCACGTGAAATTTTTCTATGTCAATTTAAAATCGGTTAAACATATTTTTTTTCTCGTTCTTATAGAAAAATATTAAATACGTATTTTTTATTTTTGTATAATTGCCCAAATTTTCGAAATTTTGGATTTTTAAAAGTAGACCTATTTTCAGTATCTTATAAGTTTGAAAGTATTGAGTTTAGAAATAAGTTGTCAAAGATAGAAAATTTTGGTCTTTCTTCAACTTTTAAGTAATGTAAAAAAAATTATTTTCTTATATTTTTAATTAAAAAAATTAATTTTTTTTTATTTTCTTTATTTATTTATACCTTATAATATAGAGAAAATTTCCTAAAAGTCCCGAAATGGGCCGATTATTGAGTTTAAAAAAATTTCCAATATTCTCTTGCAAGTTGCTCGTGGGCTACGCTACGCTTCACAATGTGATTTTTTACAATTGACTGTTGGAAACTGTCTATATCCTATAATTTTTCGTTTTAACACTCAAATTGGTTAAAAATTATAGGATGTAGACAGTTTTGTAAGCTTCTGAAAATTTTAGAAATACTACAAGTTTTGAGATATTTACAAAATTTGTCGATTAAAATGTTACTAATTAAGTTTTTACAAAAAATTTATTTCTTTTTTTTTAAATCTACTATTTTTAAATTTTAAACAATTAAGTTTTATTTTTTAAGTTTTATTTTTATTTTTTTTAGTTTTTTTTTTAGTTTTTTTTTAATTAAGTTTTTTTATTTTTAAATCGATTGTTAGTCTTCATGAGATAAAGAAATCGCTCTATCAGACAAATAAAATACAGAACAAATACATAAAAAGGAATAAGGAAAATTTTGAACTTATAGTGTGATTTCCAGAAAACCTGGAAAATATTAGAAGACACAGTTTATTATAAGATTAGATTCGTATTATTAACTGCATAAAAGAAGTTTCTCTCTGTGGTAGAAAGTACGTTTTAATCTCACAGTGAGTCTGAGCTGTTTGTTACTTACGTTATCAGTACCACTAATTGTAAACAATGCATATACACTGTGTTTAAAATATGAGAATATTTAAACATGTAAAAATGAAACATATTTTAAACTCATGGAAATCATTTACGAGTTTTAAACATGTTCGACAATTTTTAAATTATTAATTTTAATTAATTATTAATTTTTGAAAATCTCTTCTGCCATATTGAATCCGCCATTTTAAATTTTCAAAAACTAATAACGGATTCATAATCAACGACAACTAGAACATAGGAACACGAAATGTTATTAAAACTTATTCACTAAATGTTTATGAAACAATTAGTTTGTTATGTAACTGCTTTTTATAAACAGTCAATGTTCTTCCTATTGTTAATAATAAATATTACTACTCTTTGTAATTTATTAATTTTTTAAGTGTAAAATTTAATTAATTTCTTAAATTCCCCTGAATTGCCCGTTATAATGTTTACAGGGAATGAAATTATAGTTTTCAAGTCTCATTTTGACATAAGTTTCAAGAAAATCGGAGGCGACGTGTTTTGAGAAATTATAACTTAATTTAATTTTCAAACTTAATTTTTTTCATAAATTATACTATTTTTAAAAGAAAACTTTTTTCACTATCGTAAAGTTGAGAAATTTTTCTTTTAAAATCACCTGATAGTAAATAAAGTTTGGCTCCAATAAATAGGAGAGATAATTATTTAAAAACTTCCTTACAATGTCAATTGTTTATAAGGTGGGTCGTTTTGAAATAGAATGCCCCATATCTTTAAATAATTACTTACTAAAAGTTTTACAGATATATATTTTATTTATTCAAAACATTTAAAATATGTTTCAGTAAAAGATGAATCTCCAATTTCACCTTTTCATGACATTCCACTGTATGTCGACAGCGCGAATAAAACTGTCAATATGATTGTTGAAATTCCTCGTTGGACCAACGCCAAAATGGAAATTAATCTTAAGGAAGCTTTAAATCCAATAAAGCAAGATATAAAAAAGGGCAAACTAAGATTCGTAGCGAATTGCTTCCCTCACCATGGATATATTTGGAATTACGGAGCTCTTCCACAAGTAGGAAACAAGAATAATAATAATGAGAAAAAATTCTATTAACAATAACTATTAAAAAAATATTTAAATTTCTCAAAACTGTTCAACCTGTATTTTTTCTAATTATCATATAGAGTAGAAAAATGTTAAAACCATAAAAAATACTCACTCATCGAAAAGTGATAGGCACACTTCACTGATTTTGACACTAATGCTTGTAATTGCTATTCTGTCACGCAATTAATTTTTAATTTCTAAAAATAGTTGAAGTACTTGTTTCTTTCTTCTTTAATTATAAAGAATTTATATAAAAGGTTTCTAAATTTTTTTTTATTAGACCTGGGAGAATCCGGAAGTTTTGGATAAAGCAACAGGATTTAAAGGTGATAACGATCCAATAGATGTCTTAGAAATTGGATATAGGGTAAGACATTTTCACCATATTTGTCAACTTACATATAATCTTTACAACTAATTGAAAAGAATGCTACTACAACACATAACAAAAATTCTTCATTAATATGGGCAAAAATAAATGAAACCGAACTCTTGAAAAGTTTTGTATCCAATTTGAAAGTTACCTATGGTTTTTTCAGGTTGCTAAGAAAGGCGAAGTTTTACAAGTTAAAGTTCTTGGTGCCTTGGCTCTCATTGACGAAGGTAGTATTAATCATCATTATTACTATTAGCATGAGTAAATAACAATGGATTCATAGCAGGACATGTTATTGAAAAATTAAGTAGATACAGGTTCTACTGCCGTTTCCCCTTTTTTGAACTTCTATCCCAACAAAAGCCTGTAGCTTGTAGTGTACAAGTTTGCTCATTTTGCAAAATGTTTTTAAAATAACTAGTAGATAAACTTTCTGCAAGCTTACATACTATGTTTTAAGAATAATTCGCTAATTGCAGCAATATTGTACTGCAAGCTTACAACAAATTCTTAAGCTCACTTCAAGTTTCCTGCAATTTTACTGATTAATATTAGGAATACGCCATTTAATAAAACTTTCCTTTCAAATACATAATAGTAAAAGTATGCAATATTAAAATTATTCAATTTTCAGGAGAGACTGACTGGAAAATTATCACTATTGATGTAAATGATCCAATAGCCAGCAAATTAAATGGTGCAGTATTTTTTTTCTTTTCTATTTTAATTTTTTTTATTCTGACACATTTTAATCTTTTCCGTTTTTTATAGATGTAACTGATATTGAAAAGATTTATCCAGGCTTGATGAAAGCTACTGTAGAATGGTTTAAAATCTATAAAATTCCTGACGGAAAACCCGAAAATCAGTTTGCTTTTAATGGAGAGACTAAACCAAAAGATTTTGCTTGGGACGTAATTGAAGAGGTCCATCAACATTGGCAAAATCTTATTAAGAGCGAAGCACCAAGTGGTGGCATCCAATGGTTAGTAACTTCCACTAAAAAACTATATGTCAGTTGTAGAGTAGAATTATTTTATTATTAGTAGGTGTCAAATTTTTAAAGTAAATAATATATTCTTAATAAAATGCATTGTAAAAAAATTCTAGAGCATCAATCATTAACATAAATATTTTTTTTGTTATAAACAGTACTAATGTAAGCGTTGAAGGAAGTCCATTTAACATAACTCAAGAAGCATGTAAAGAAATTTTGCAGAAAGTGCCGGAATTGAATGAATCTCAAGAACCACTTGACCCCATAAGTAAGTAACGTTTTGTTTATGAATAAATAATCTATTAAAAATTTCAACCTTTATTTATACTAAAGCAATTAAAAACAATATCGAAAATTTGTTTATCTACTTTTAAAGTAGTCTGACCTAAATTTTAAAAGAAATGCAACCAACAAATTTATCAACAATAAATAATGATGGATTAAAAAAATATTAATTGTAATCCTTAGTAAGAATGATGATGAAAAAATTAAATTAAATGTTTTATTCTTTTCAGTTGATAAATGGCACTATGAACATCTCAAATAAATCAGCAAAAACGAGTTTTAAAACACTATTGCGACTATGAAAATGAATACTACTGCACATAAAAATATTTTTTTAAACATTTCTTTATATGTATGTGAAAAGTAAGAAGAATTTTTCTTGTAAAAAAATATGGACATAAATAAATTTGTGAACTTATAAGTGTGGTATTCTTAATGAAACATAAACTATAATTTTTAATTATTTAAAAAAACATTTTTTCAATTATTAAAAAATTAATTCAAAATGCAAATAAAAAAAAAATTTATAAAGAATTTTTCGAATTAAATTGATCAGTATTGATTAAAATCGAGTCATTAATAATTTAAATTGAATTTTTAACTCTTCAAGGACCAAATGAACAGACACAAATATACATATATTTTTAATCGACATTGAAATTAAATATGCACTAGAAGAATTTTGTTACGAAATTCATTATTATAATGAGTACTTGACAAATTTTGCGCGCCTTTTCTTTGATTCTTTTCTTGATAGTTATTTAGAAACAGAATATTATTAAAATTGATATTAAGACATAAAATATTAAAAATAATAAAAGAAAAACTGCTGCTAAATTTCATCACTACTGGTTTCGTAACGGTTGATTTTTTTGGAAGCTAAAAGTTGTGGCTCTTTAAACGTTTCAGTGTTTCATAAACACTCATTTCATTAGTCTGTGAACTTAATGTTCTCAAAATATTGTATGAACCCTGTTATGTATGTCAGAAAAGTGTTTGATGAGTGTTCTTACTGAATGTTGGAAATGTGTTTTAATAGTATTGTATGAATCATTTTCAAACTATAAATTCTATGTTTTAAAAACATCTCTGTGTCTACAATCACGTATGGCCCGATTGTAGTTTGGATTTCCACTGTCGATGAACACTTTCGACATTCTTTATCCATGCTTTGTGTCATTTCTAAACAGATTTTTAAATGCGATTCAAAATCAGAATTTTTATTTATTTTTGTTTTATCCATAGACAATATTTGCAGCTTTCTTGATGTTTCTTCACAATTGGTGCATTTTTGCTCGGTGTGTCGCTTATCAAGTTCTGTAATAGTACCAATGCACTTCCATAACAATCTATAATTAATAATTATGTTTATTTTCAAAGTGCATTGATTGCGTCAAAAAGGCACATGTATTTTTTTTACATATATTTGGCTTTCGTTAATATTGACCGGATTACATTTACCTTCATTTTGAATTATTTCGACCTTTCTTTTTCGTAGTTGTCGTTTGTAAATGATTTCAATATTTGGACAGGGTTTTAAATATTTTCCTCTAGAACGGTTATTATTTTTCTCAGACAGAGGTGTGGTTTTTTCAAATTTCTTGTTAATAGTTATAAGTTTCGATTTATTAAACAAATTCAAAGCCAATAGGCTTCAGAATCTTCATTTTTGTGAGAAAGGTCTTTGCTTAAAAGTAAGTCTGGACATACTTTTTTGAAACCGTTTTCTTCAGCATTATCCTGACTTACATCTTCAACAATAGTTTCTATTTTTCTTTTATTATTTGAAACTTTATTTTTTTTCGCTTTAATACTCAATTTTTTGTCATTTGCCTTCTCATTTAACCCATACCAATTTTCTTGATATTTTAAGTGCTGAACATTATCATTTTTAGCTAACAAAAAAAATAATAGTTGGACAAACGAATGCCACATAGAAAAGTAAAAAATATTAACATGTCGGAGCCAACGATTAATACTAATCGTCATTATTTAAAAGATTTTCAATTTTAAAATATACTTATTGTATAATAGTCAACTTTTTCTTTCTTGGTTGGTTTTTAAATGAAATATTCTCTCACAAAATTTAGTAGACTCATTGACTTATCCTCATTGAGGAACATAAGTTCAGTTTTGACGTAACAGTAGCAACCCTGAAAAAATAGTACAAAAAATTCAGTCAAAATCTTTGAAATTTTTTATTATTAAAAAATATTTGGTGGTAGGTTTTTTCATCACCTAAGGAGTGTATACAGAGCATTTTAACCTAATCCCATTAAGTCACTGAAACAGCTTTAAAGAGTTAACATGGACTTCACCTTATAAAAACATCCAAATTTTGCCTAATCTAATATTCTTTTCACTTTTCTTAAGAAATAAGATATTTTGAAAAATAAAAAAACCAAAATGTTTTAACGACGATAAACTGATAAACCCTTTTGAAAGTAAATAAATTTTTCTTTTAATAACATGAATTTTGGAAAAAATTAAAATTTAAACCTATTTAATATTTTAAATCTATACATTTCTACTTAAATGGTAAACATATTCTTAATTCAAATTATACATATAAAAAACTAATTACAGGAGAACAAGTAAAACTAATAATAAGTTTCCTGCCTCTCAAAGTGATTTTTATAATATAGAAACTTGTATTAAAATTAATAGAGGAAAAACTATGAGAAAAAGTAAATTTGATGTTTATTTTATAAATTATCATTTTTCTAGTAAAACCTAGTAAAACCTTGATATAATTGTAAAATTAATTTTGGGGTTATTGTATGACAACATTTATAAATTAATGCTTAAATTACAATTTCATACAGCTATTTACAATTCTATCTCCTTTCTCCTGATCCAGCATTATTTCCAGAGTTTGCAGTTCCAGCGTGACTCAGAAAAGCTAGGTGACCCTTTGGACATTTGTTCGCGTAATGTCCTTTGGTACCGCATTTGTAACAAGTGACTTCCTCGAGGGGCTTTTGCGGACCCCTGGATGGTGGCATGTTACCATGCATAGGTCCATGGTGCTGAGGATAAAGCCCACCATCCATGTCTTGCCTCACTTGGGACTCGCGCATATCCGGTGGCATCTTATTGCAATATATCGCCTTGTGGCCAGTTTCACCGCAAAAGTGGCATGTTATCATTACCTTTTTGCCTTCTTTAGGCTGCATATCTTGTATTGCGGGTAATTCAAAGCGAGGGCTAAAAAAAGGATATTTATTACCACATACATAAAAGTCGAAATTTAAATATCAAACCTTTGTCTCTACATTGCTTAGAACTTGACAATTTTTTCATTATAAAAATCTCATTGAAATTGAATCCAGCGCCTTTGTAATGTCATAAAAATTTATATATTTTTAATTAATGTAATTAAATAACCAATCCTTAAGAGATTAACAAATTTTTTTAAGTCGCACGATTGTTTACTTTTAAGAGGACATATTAGAAATAATATCATTCAAATATTTGTTTTTAAGCATTTATTAATTTCATAAATTTTAAAGAAGTTTTAAGCAATGTGAAGACAACAGTTTATTAAAATCTGTCGCAAACAGGTACGACAGTTAATATATATATATATATAATATAAACGTAAACAGATTCAAAGGATTTTCAGGATCTCTTATTACGAATCTGATATCGATTTAATAATGAATGATTTAAAAAATCTCAGACTTCGCATTCGATAATTAATTTTAAAAAAGTAGCAATAAGTAGCTTTCAAACTAAAAAAAGTAGTAAAAAGTAACTATCGAAAAAACGACCAAAAAACTCGTTTTAGAAACTTCACAAAACTGACAAAAAGTCCATTCTATATTTTATTTTCCTGACTTTTTCCTAATTTTCATCAAAAATATTTACTTCCTTCTTATCCTACTAATAAATTGAATTCCTGCAACGAATTTTATTATTCATGAAAGAATTTAAATATTTATAAAAATAGCTTAATTCTTGACAAGAATTTTATAAAACTTTTTAAATAATTGATTTCTTTCGAACAATTTTATTAAAATCTTTGAAAATAATTGAATTATTGCGAAAATTTTTATTAAAATGTTTAAAAAGAAATGAATTTCTGTAAAAAATTTTGTTATTTTTGAAAATAATTGAATCTTATAAACATGGTTATAAACCGCTGCCAAGTTGTATATTTTTTTTTATTGACAATAATTGAAATTCTTCGATAAGACTTATTATGAAAATATGTAATTGAATTCTTGCTTAAAATTTTATAATAAAGTTTTTTAAACAATTGAATTTCCATGAAAAATGTTATTATTAGTGAAAGTAACTGAATTATTGTGAGGAATTGTATAAAAATTTTGTTAAATATTTAATTTTTTCGAAATTTGTTTGAAAATGCTATTCTAAATTAATTGAATTCCTGTAGAAATTTTATTATTCATGAAAATAATTGAATTTTGGATAAATTTTATCAATTTTTTTAAAGTAATTGAATTCTTTTACGAAATTTCATGAAAATACTAGATATTGAAAATAAGTGAATTTCGAAAATTTTTTGAAAATAATTGAATCGTTTTAAAGAATTTGATTATAATTTTTGAGAATAGTTTTTTGATTTCCAGTATTTGCGAATTTAAAGTATGTAGTGGAAATTCTCAAGAAAAACAAAAATAGTAGCTTTTAGTGGCTGAAATCTAAAAAAAAGTACCCATTTAGTAGTATAACGTAAAAAAAGTAGTAAATAGTAGGTTTTAGTAGATGAGTGCGAAGCCTGAAACCCTCATACATTAGTTTACATAAAAAACTGATCAACTTTTTAAAATCTTTCGCCATTTTCAGTGTTAAAAAACTAACAAAGAATGAAAGAATCTAAAAACCCTTGAGAAAGACAATGTTTAATGTCTTTTTGGATTGAGGCAATATTTTACGAATTCGTATAAAAAATTTGTTGAGAATCGAAAATAAAAACTATAGAAATAAACTCAATTAAAGCAATGAAGTACTTACTGCATGAATTTACAAGTTCCTCCATCAGAACAAAAACCGGCTAAATAAGCCATACAAAGAACTCTTCTCACATGCCGATGCCTACATAGTGGCCCATGTCTACAAAATCCTCTATCGTACCATGGACAATCTCGAACTTTTGTTTCCGGATCAATATGTAAAAACGGACATTCCTTATTGTGACATGCATCTGAAAATAAGGTTTAATTATTTAAGATAATATGAAACATAATAAAATTATATTAAAAATATTCCATCGCGGGGTTGATGAAGAGTGCGAAAAATTAATTTAATAATTGACTTTCGCAATTCGTCGATCACGGGTTCAACAGCGACTAGGCTTTCACGTGCCGGCCAAGGACACGGAAAGGTAATTGTTCTTTTTTAGTTTAAATATTTATTTCAATTTTGTTTAATATTAGTCTTTTCTTTTTTTGTTCACCGAATTTGTTTTTTTTTTGTTTTATTTAAATAAAGTGTGTATTGAAAAATGAACATTTAAAAATACTTACTAAACCGTGAGTAGAAATAGCATTCCGGCATTTTTGTCATATCATATTCATGCAAAAATTCGCATTGATCTCCTTTTTTACAAAGTCCACGCAACCAATGTTTACATACTATTGTCCTGTCTCCCCGAACATGTCTAAAGGGACAAGATGCACCTTTATTACAAGTTCCCCGTGGATAAAACTGACATACTGCTGCAATGGATTCTGAAATAGAGAAATTTACAATATTACTTATGTCATAAATGCAGGGTGTGAAGGGTTCTTTTCTTTCTGGATTCCAATTTTTCGGGTTTCGGTTTTCCAGTTTTTCATCAAATTTTGGGGAACACTTGGGGAATAATCATGCACCTCAGTGAAATTCTATAGATCTTTTTCAGTTGGGTTCAATAAACTCTATAAATATATGTTTTAAACACTTTTTGCGTCATTGAAATCAGACGTAATTATACAATAATTTTATGCTTAAAAAAATTATTTCAGGAAATTTATATTTTTTCTAATTAAAGTTTAGAAGAATTCTGAATTTTGCTGCTTTTTTTGTTTGCCTCGTAAAACTATGAAATTGTCAAGAATTCTAATACAAAACCTTCAATTTTTTCTATTTCTAACAATAATTTATTTTTAAATAACTTAATTCTTCAAGAACTATCATAAAATTATTACTTAGAAATTATTTCAATTCTTTTTAATATCTACTATTTTAATAACATTTTCCAAAAGAATTCAATTATTCAAACAAAATTTTTAAAAAAATTTCACAGGAATTTCAATTACCAATTTTTTATAAATTTCTTCGAACCAATTCAATTATTTTTAATTATTTAATGAAATTTCTCGAAAAAATTCAAATATATTCAGAGAAATAAAAAAAAAATAGTTCTAAGAAATTCAATTATTTTGAAAAATTTTAATCAAATTCTTTTAAAAATTATATTATTTAAAAAAATGTAAACAAAATTATTTACAAGATTTAGTTAATAAAATTTTTAATACAATTCTTCTTAAAAATTCAATTATTCCATTATTTTCACAAATAATCCATTTTTTATGCGAATTCAATTGTTTAAATAAATTTGAATAAAATTCTTCGCAAGAAATCAATTACTTTTAAAATTGTTTGCAAAAATCGTCGAAACAATTAAATTATTTTCGTAAAATATAAAATTCTTCGAAGTAATTCAATTATTTAAGAAATTTTAATAAAATTCTTTTCAAAAATAATCATTTTCACAGGAATTCAATTCTTTAAAAAAAATTTTTAATACAATTCGTTGCAAGAATTTAATTATTTTTATAAATAACAAAAGCTTATTGCAGACTTTCAAATATTTTTTATATAATTTTAAATAAAATGATGGAAAATTGCATTTATTCTTAAAATTTGTTTTTTAAATTCGCCGAAAGAATTCAATTATTTTTAAAAATTTTGATAAATTATTCAGACAAATTTAATTTTAAGAAATATTTAATTATTTAATCAATTATTTAATTTTGTATTTAAATAATTGAATTTTCAAAAAATTTTCTAATAAAAATTGATTAAATAATGAATTTTACTGAAAATTTTAAATTATAATTTGAATATTAAGAGCATTATAGCGTGAATTTTTAAAAATAATTGAATTTTGAAAAGGGTTCAAAATTAAAATGTTTGAAAATTTGAATTTATAGTTACAATATTCTTATGATATAAAATAATGATCTGTCATCTTAAATTTATCATAAAACACATAAAACATCTTCGACTCGGAGTGGTCGGTTTCTTCGTGTTTTATAATAATATTCTCATAAGTTATTGAATTTCAGAAGGTTTGTATTTGAGAATCTTAATTCCTATAGAAAAATAATTCTGCTTTCCGTTGTTCTGGTCGACCAATGACTGCTGAGGCGTTATTCATATAATCTTTTGAAAACTGTCACTCTTTTTGTTGGTGATTGAATTTAAAGCGTTTGCTACATAGAGATATGAATAGATTCATATAAATATTCAAAATCGGTCAAAAATTGACCGAGTTTTAAAAGAATGAAATAAATTCAATGTAAAATTCAATTAGTTAAAGTCTTACAATTTTAGATATTTTGAAAATTCCTTTTACATATAGTTAACTCTTATATTAAACTATAATTTTCCCAAGTTTCGTCAAATTTTAAGAACCACTTGCAGATTGTGATATTTCTGAGAGTCACCCATAAAATAAAATCTTATTCCTGGCATCAAGAATTAATAAATTAATTAATGAATAGTTCTTCTAACGTTAATGCTTCCTCCACGAGGAAGCAAAATTTTTTACTGATTGTAAAGAGGAAGCAAAATGTTCATGTAATGAACATTTAAATTTACTATTTGTTTAAAATCAAAGTTTCCTTTTTTTATGAAAACTTTCCATGGTTTTTGAAAAAGTATTTAAGATAAAAAAGAAAATTCAAGGATAATCTATTTACATCTTGCCAGTTCTTGAGAAATGTTAAGAAATATGTTGGTAAACATTGTTGCGATCAATGCAATATTAATCGATATTCTCATCATTCAATTTATTATTTTAGACATAAAGAAACAAATTCATGTTGATTATATGAACGATTCTGTAGAAAATAAATTCCTAATTAGTAATTTTATATAAAAAAAAAATTAGACTAGTTTTTTTTGTTAATTTTAGAAAATATTTACTTTAAATTACAAGTTCTTTTTGAAATTACAAAAAATGAATAGCAAAATATAAAAATGAGCATAACCTTAAATTTTTTTGATTAAAGAGAGAATACTTACTATCCATTCCTGTGAATGGTAGAGGAAGAGCTCCATATTGTTCGTCTAATGCTATTTCAATATCAAATCGCATATGATCAACACTTGCAACTATACACTCCATTTTATACACATAAAAAAAAATTAAACATTAAAACAACAAATAAATTCCAAATATTTGATACAATGTATACTTTCACCGGTATACTTCCTGGAATAGTGTGTATATGCTTACACAAGATTAGAAACTCTATTCCTTCTTTGATGTTCTCTCTATAAAGGCCTTTCTACAAATCCTAGAGCATATAGCCAGCCCAACGCAGAATAAAAAAGTAACGTGAACGTAAGCATGCGATAGAAAAGGACAAACCTACTTCTGTCTTTTTCTATCTCATGCTTGCGTTCGCTTCCCGTTTTATTCTGCTTAGGCCTTATTTCGCAAATGCCTTGTGGTGGTTTCTATGGCAACCAATGCTAAAAATTAAGGGTACGTTTACACATTCGGTAAAAATTTCCAGAACGGGAAATTTACATTGGAGTAAGAGAGACAGATATACAGTCTGTCTCTCACAAAGCTTAAGCTGTGTCAACAATAGCACCTTGAACGTAACGTAAACGTAATTAGAAAAGGACACAAATATATCACTGTCATTTTCTAACCCATGCATTTTGTTCGCGAAGCAGCTGTGCTTAGGCCTTAATAAAACATATGTTTTATGATTGTTACTGTGCCTTGGCCTTAACAATAGTAATCGTCGCTGTATGCAAGCGCACCTTTAGCAACAGAAATATACATGATTATATTTGAATATCCGAGAATTCAGGAGTCACAAGAAACAGTTTACGTTTAATTACTTTAAGGAAAAACAATAATTATCATACATAGAAAACAATTTTGTTAATTCGAATAAAATATGGGAGGTTCACCAACAAAAGTAGAATCAACAAACACAGACAAAGACAAGAAATTAAAGCCTTGTTGTGCTTGTCCAGAAACAAAGAGGATTCGAGATACATGGTAATTTTTACTCTAAACATTTTATTATAATTTTTATCTGATGATTGCTTTTTGATTTCTCAGCAGCAGCAAATAATAATTGTTTAAAAATAATAGTCAAACATTTGTGTCATTTACCTTTTCAATGTTTTAAAGGTTATGTCAATATTTAGAAAAATGTACATTTAAAAAACTCAAAAATAATTTATCAGTAAATCCTTTTACAACTAATGAACATAATATTTACCTTAATTAAGAACTATTATCATTATAAGAATCAACTCAACATTTTCTATGAATAGAGAAACATTTCTAAGCTCTTTTCTTTTTTAGGAGCACGTGTGACATTTCCTAAAAGATAATTTTTTTTTCCTTCTTTTTAAGATTTTACATTACTTTAAACCCACTGATAGTTCAAATAAAGAAATAGTTATTTATTTTCTTCAAAATAATCATAAATTCAGGAATCACCAATTCACCTTGATGCAATAATATATAAAAATTTTGTTACTAAATTAAATTTATGAATCCAAATTTACTCTCTAAATAAGAATTCGTAAAAATATTTACTAAGTTGAATTAGTGACTGACTTTCTGCTGTTGAATTTGTAAATTTTACTAATAAATTGTCATTTTTATTAATTCAAATTTAAAAAGTAGTTACAATCTAATAAAATTTTAGTCGAATCAAAATTTTCTCAATCCAAATTTTAAACTCTTAAAGCTTTAAGTGTTGATAGAAAGTTACAATATTGATTAATATTGCAATACATTATTTAATTTACAAGGTAATTTGTTTTATATAACATTTTTTACTTAAAAAATTTTTATTGACGTAGAAGTGATAATATTTAAATATTTATTTTTAAAAATTATTAATATTTATTATTTTTATAAAAAATTATGAATATTTTGAATTCTTTTAGAGGTTTTTGGTATTTTTCATAATATTGTAACATGGTTTAAACAATATTATTGAAATATTTTATTTTAAGCATTTATGAGTTTTGGAAATTTTAAGTATTATAAAGACAAAGTTCTGTACAATGCATAAAATTTATTTATTGAATTTGATAAAAAATTTTAAGTTATAAACTTTTAAAATTTTGACTTTTTTGAAAATTACCCATTAAGTAACAGATATAAATACATATAAGTACATTTTGGAAACAATAACATTGAAATATTTGTATTTAATCATTTATAAATTTAATAAACTTTAAACAAGTTTTTAGCAATGTAAAGGGTAGGCATTAAAACTCTGCGATGATTGGTATGAAAGCCAGTTACTAATTATAATATAATATCAACAAGCTTTTAAAAATCAGATAGAAAATTTTGTGTAATTTGATATTTTTTTACCACTAATAGAAATTCAACAATTATAATTTGTTATCTATAATAATTCTTAACAATTACTTATTTAAAAATGCTAAAAGTGAATAATGTAAATGTGTATTTGATTTTCAGTATTATCGAAAAAGGTGAAGCTGAGTGTGGTCATCTTATAGAAGCTCACAAGGCGTGTATGCGGCATTTGGGATTTAATATATAAGAGAGTTAGATAATCTTAACTAAGTAAATTAATTTTTTTGCTTTCTATGTGTGATTTTAATCAAACATGTAATTATTAATATGTAATTAATAAATCTACTGTTACCTTGGCAACATGATTTTTTTCTTGATTGTTTTCTTAAATTAAAATTTTTATCTGTCAATAAAACTATGTGATAAAGTTTCATAAAATTATTATCAAAATAAAAGTTAGTCCAATGTCATAATTTTGCATTTTAATAAAAATTTCAATTTTTTGTCAATAAGAAACATTTATTAAATTTGTGGTTATATATTACACTAAAATCATTTATTATTGAAAAAAAATTATAATTTTTATTCAATTTCACAGCTTTTCATCAAGTTTGATCGGTTAAAGTCAGTGCAAGATTTTCAACACTAAGGACCTGTTTTCAGACACTTTTCTAAATGACTGAAGACATGGCACTTATTTGAACATATTTTCGCAAAAATATGTTGATTAACCTTTTAAAAAAAACAAAAATAAAGGTTTTTCAAAAACGACCCAACCGATTTTCTTCATTTTAGGCCCAAAATCATCAGGAGACATCCTAGAAACAAAATAGAAAAATAACCGAACACTTTAAAGTGTTTATAATCATAAAAACGACATCTATCGGCGGCCACGATCCTAACTCATTGACCGATCGCGATCTAAAAAAAATGACATTTTCAAACTTTTTTAAAATTATTCAAAAACATCAATAACTTCTTTTTCAAATAAATATTTTATTATTATTATTATTATTATTATTATTTTTCCATAAGAATGAAGATTTTCAAAAATTTATTGAATAATTGAATGTTTTTTAAAATTTAATTAATTAATAAATAATTTTATCAACCAATTTTTAAATAATTGAATTCTTTTGACGAATTGTAATAAAATTGTTAAGAATAAAATTTACATTTTTCGAGGAATTCGATTAAAATTGTACTAAAAATAATTAAAATTCTGCGATGAGCTTTATTATTTATGAAAATAATTGAATTCCTGAAACAAATTTATTATTTATAAAAATAATTGAATTCATAAAAAAATTATTATGTATAAAAATAATTAAATGTTTGCGTACAATTTTATTAAAAAATTTTTTGAATAATTGAATTCTTTGGGGAAATTTATTAAAATAGTAATAGATATTGAAAATCATTGAAATGAGAAAATTTTTTAAAAATAATTGAATTTTGTAGAAGAATTTTGTTACATTTATAATGATAATTGTGATTTTAACGATAATTTTTTTTAAATTTTAAACATAATTGAACTTTGTAAAAAGAGTTTTATTACTTTTGAAAATAATTGAATTTCTGCAATGATTTGAAACTTCTCCAAAATTCAATTTTTTAACATGTTTTTAACTAAAATTCCTCGATAAATTTATTATTTTTAATAATCTATTAAATATATAAGTATATTAAAAAATTTAACTAATTTCAGAATTATTTAAATTTTGAAAATTTCTGCAAAAATTTAAATTCTTTAGAATTTCTAATAAAATTCATTAAAAATTGAAATTTTATAAAATTTGAAATTAAAATCTTGTCAAGTTCATCTATTTATGAAAATTGTAAATAAAACTATTTTAAAATTCAATTAATTTTGAAATGTGGAGTAGAACGGGGTGATTTAGCCACATTTTTACATTTTAATTTATAAAATCTGAATTTAAAATTTTTTTCTCAAATTTCTAATTGGCATTGAAAGTTTAGTTATTAAGCTTGAATATTCTTGACGGAAATATTTTTTATCCCATGAAAGGACTAAGTTATAAGAGTTTTACGAAACCTCTGCAAATGGCTTTTTGTACCAGCTGGTGGGAGGAGAATGCCACCTCGCGATTTTATCAAAATATGTTATTAATTTTGGTATTTTTATAGTTTTCCTTTATTTACATGACAAATAATCTTATTTTTAAAATATTTTAATAAAATTTAAAGAGCTTTTATCAAGGAAAATTGAATATTATGTTAAGTTTACCTGTTTTCGATTTACACTGCCAAGTTTTTGTACCTTTTTTTAATAAGTCTTCCTTAAATTTCACCACAGATGCCATATTTTGTTGCAACCGTTTTTTCGATGTTTATTTTTTAACGCACTTTATACTATTTTTTCGTCGTGTTTAATTAATTTTATTAAGTAAACACGCGAAAATTTTGTAAAATTAGAAGGTTAGTTTAAGTAGAAAACAAATGAATTTCACATAATATTCAATGGATTTTTGTCCCTGGCTTTTTCACCCCCAAGACTAGTTTTTCTAAAAGCTAAAATAAATTTTAAATTCAGTTCAATTTCCAAAAATTAACATTGTATACGTTATTTGAGTAGTTTTCTCCTTATGTACAAACATTTACTTTTATTACCCGTTCACTTAAACAGGTTGTAATATGTTCGAAAAGTTCATCGAAATATTATACGCAGAGCAACTCAAAAATTAAAATTACAATAAAAATTATATTAATTTAGGTACAACATCCAAGCTAGTATCAAAAGTTGCGTATTAACTGATAGTATTTATATTCTAAATAGCTGATAAATCGGTTTAATAGTTTTCAAATAAAAGTCAAATGGCTTTTTTGCACCATGACTATTTCACCCCGTTCTACTCTATAAATAAAATTATTCATTAAATAATTTCTAAGTAATAATGTTATGACTGTTGTTCTAGAATTAAGATATTTAAAAAGAAATTATTTTAAAAAATAGAAAAAAAATATTGAATTATTTTAAAGTTAATGTATTGAAAATCATCGAATTGTTGCAAAGAATTTTATCAAAAAATTTGATAATAGAATTCCTTCAAAAAAATTTATTATTTAGGAAAATAACTGAATTGGGAGCGTTCACAAATAATGTCACGTTTTTGGGGGAAGGGGGGGGGTCTCTACTAAACGTGACACAATGTATTTTTACATATGAATTTGCGTGACAGGGGGAGGGTGGGTCTAAAATCCCGAAAAATTGCGTGACATCATTTATGAACGCTCCCATTCTCGCGAAGAATTTTATTAAAATTTTTAAAAATCCTAATAAAATTCTTTTGAAGAATTTCTTTGAATTTTTTTAAACTAATGGAGTTTTTTTTAATAATTTTAATTGAAAATTTTGAAAGCAATTGAATTTTATGAAGAATTTTTTTTAAATTGAATTGAAAATAATTGAATTGCTCCAAAGAATTTATTAAAATTTTAGAAAGTAAATGAATTTTATGTTAATATTTGAAAATATAAATTCTTTCGAGGAATTCAATTAAAATTGATTTGAAAAAAGTTTAATTTCTGCAAAGGATTTTACTATATTTATAAAAATAATTGAATTATTCCGGAGAATTTTACTATTTATAAAAGTAATTGAAATGTTTCGAAGAATTTATTAAAATTTTGAGAAATAATTAAATTGTTATGAAAGATTTTACAGAAATATTTAAAAATAATAAATTTTTTTCGAGAAATTCAATTTAAGTTATTTTGAAAATAATTGAATTTCTTTAAAGAATTTTATTAAAATTAAAATTAAAATTAATTTTTATTATAACATTAATGAATTCATCACAAGAATTTTATTATTTTTTGAAAATAATTGAATTCTTTCAATTTTTTTGACGAATATTTTTAAGAATTGCATTGAAAGTAATTTAATTTTTATATAGAATTTTTTAAAAATATTTTGAGAATAATTGAATTATTTTTAGAGAATTTTAAATTCTTGTTGAAATTGAATTTTATGGAAATTTTTGAAAATATTTAATTTCTTTTGTGTAATTTTATTTAAATTGGATTAAAAATTATTTAATTTCTGTAAAGAATTTTAGTATTTATAAAAATAGTTGAATTGTTTCGAATAATTTTTTAAATTTTAGGAAATAATTGAAATTTATGAAAATATTTGAATTCATCCGAGGAATTCAATTTTGTAAAATTATTATATTTTGAAAATAATTGAATTCCTGCAAAGAATTTTACTATTTATAAAATTAATTGAATTCTTGGGAAGAATTACACTATTTATAAAAATAATTGAATTTTTTCGAAGGATTTATTAAAATTTTAGAAAAAATTGCATGTTTTCGAAATGTGTGTTAAATTTTTTTTAAAAATTGAATTCTTCCGAGGAATTCAATTAAAATGTTTTTTAAAATAATTGAATTTAATAAAATTCTCTTATGATTTATTTTATAAAATTATAAATTAGCTAATTTTATAGAATAAATTACGATTTATAGAAGTGTAATATTGCAAAAACAGAGAATAGATGAAATAAGCAACCTTATAAAATTGTTACATAATTTTTACGCGATTATTATTTAAATAATAATTTTTCCCCATCGCTAAATTGTATTGCATAAATCTATACTCTTGAAAAAATTTAAAATACCCTCGTGATATTATGTTGTGTGACATAATGAAGGTATTATTTAAAAATATTGTTAATTTATTCTGTTTTTGATAAAATAATGTTAAAAATGTAGAAGAATGTTTGCTTATTAATTTTGACGCTTGTCTATCATATCAGGATTGTTTAAATGACAGGGCGAGCTTTAGGTGTTAGGATCGAAAGTAATGGTGTAGCTGGAGTGTACGGCAGGGGGAGAGACGCCCCCCGGTGGGGCTAGGTCGAAGTGTACACAGTCCCCCACTGATATCAGTCGAGCCTTGTACGAGGGAGATATAGCTTGTGCCCCTTACACATTTACTTATTAATCACTATTCCGCCGTTCAATACATTTTTACAGTGCCCCCTTTCAGCGATATTTTATTATCGGTCTTTTATTTACTCACATAATGTTTTAGTATCCTGTCACTGTACGTCTCAGTAGGCTGTGTGTGTTAAAATAGGTTAAATAAGGAGAAGTCAAATTTACTAATAAACAACGCTGAGGTAAGCTACAATCATATTCTGTTTACTTTTTATAAAACAAATTTCAAAATTATTCCTAAATTCAAGTTATCTTATGTAATCTGGTACATATTTATTTTTAAAGTTTCGATACAAATGCACAACATTATACATAAATGTTGCTGTGTAAGTTTTATAAATAGATGAGATGAGTTTGTCAGAAATATAATCTAAATTAAATTTTTTTAAAACTCCTACTACATTTACAAATAATTAATTTACCAGAAAAAGTTAGTTTAATTATTTTTTTATTAGACTACAAACGATTCACTTCAGTTTAATAAACATTATCTTTAATTCTAATAATAAATATTTTGAAAAATTTTTAATTTTATAAAATAAATATTAATCAAAAATAATAAATATTGATAAATGAGAAATTTATAATATTAAATATAGATTAGAAAAATTAAAATATAATTACTTTCCAAAATTAGATATATATATTTTCTCAAGTTGATATGTATTACACTTTATGCTGTACTCTGGTGACAAATATTATTTAAACAGAAACTATTCATAACTGCATTCTTCTGTTGTAACTTGTAACAGATACCGGTATTGGTTATGAAGGAACACACGCGAAACTTGGAAATATTTTGATTAGATATATTATGAAGAATCAATATAATTACTTTGTATTGAGTTTTTTTTAAATTAACTATAATTTTAAGTTTAACAAATTAATATATCACTTTTTAAATATATTCTAATTAAGCGTAATCATATTAGATTTTAGAGTAACATAAATTATTAGATTTTGTGTTATTCATCTAATACGAATAGAAGTGTTTTTAATAGCGTTAATAAGGTAATTTTATATTTTAAAAAAATAAATATCATTTTTGTAAATCATTGTGATTTCAAACAAAAAGTTTAACTGGTATTTAAGCAACAAAAACTTCTTTTGTTGTGACAATCAAATTTTAGTTGTCACAACCAAACTTTAGCTGACACAATCAAAGACTTTTTTATTTCATTGTATCAACCGTGGTTCGTGGTTGGTTACTTTAAATATCAACTAGAATTTTTTTGGCGAAGTTCTAATGCATATTAAAAATTATAAAACGTAAATCGAAAACTTTCCATGAGGGTAAGAGAATATATTTATCCTTTTCTCCTTTCTAAAAAAATAGAAAAAGCTCGAATTGAAAAAAGTCGAACTCGAAAAGTATCGAAATAAGAAATAAGCATAAAGAATAAAAAAGAACATAGAAAGCACACCTCACACTCTAAATGGAAACGAAATAAATGGAGCTGTCTTATCTTATCTCAAGAAAAAATTATAAACCTCTGTGTTACAATAAATTAGGTGCATTTTAATTAACAACATATAAAAATATAAATAAACAATTAATTTTTTAATAAGAAAAGATTAATTTAATGTAACAAAAATATTAATAAATTATACAATTTTTACCACTGTGTGACGCTACGTGTATGCGTATAGGCTTACCATAACATGTAATTGAATAGAAAAATATTTTGAAAATGTCAGTTCGAAGTGAATTAAATTTATTATTGGACGCGTGATTATAATATATAAGGCTATTCAAGTTGGGTGGGGGAAAATTCAAGATGGATGCTAACTGGTGCACAAACATTGTATAGAAAGTGTATGGGATAGAGTCTCATTTTTTAAATATCTCGCTTAAACGAAATTTTTAACCATAAGTTTATTAGGATTTTATGTTTCATTTTTAAAGAACTATTTTTTGCAATAATAAAAATCGATTTTATTTTTTTATTGATTTTATTATTGCAAAAAATAGTTCTTTAAAAATGAAACATAAAATCCTAATAAACTTATGGTTAAAAATTTCGTTTAAGCGAGATATTTAAAAAATTAGACTCTATCCCATACACTTTCTGTACAATGTTTGTGCACCAGTTAGCATCCATCTTGAATTTTCCCCCACCCAACTTGAATAGCCTTATTATAATAATTACTAATAGTGGATGTTTATTTAATTACAATTTTTTAACGTTTTGAATTTTTCGTATCTAATTTTATTATTCTTTAAGCTTCTTAAAAAAATTAAAACTAAATTTTTCATTTTTCACTATATAATTTAATAGTAATACCTTTTTTGGCTTTAAAAAAGTTTCATCAAATATAGAAAAAATCAATTAAGAATGAAAACAATTCTTTTGGTTATATAAATTGTTTGATTAAAAATCCAAAATAATATTTATTTAACGTGATTATTTAAGGCTTCGTCCATAAATTACGTCACACTTTTTAGGGGGGAGGGGGTCTATGAAAATGTGACTAATTGTGACAAAGGGGGGGTGGGGACCTTTTATTTTGTTATGTCACACTTTATACTCTATTTCTTATAATGAGAAAATTGTAATAAATAAAAATATCAAATATATTTCTTGTTTTTAAAATATTAAAGAATGTACTAATTATATAAGTATAACTTTATTGTTGGGTGTACTTCCGAATAAGGGGGACCTCCGATTTTAATAAAACTTGGTATACCAACGTATTTTGATGCGCTGATTACGAAAATGATAATGAAAATTGGCGCAAATTTGATGTTCATGGTGTAAACCATAAAAAAACCATAAAATTGTGATTTTCTTGCGAATAATTCGTAAAAAAACGAAGGATATTATACTTCCGAAAAGCGCATACCTCCGATATTAATGAAAGTTGGTATACTTACGTAATTTTGTGCCCTGATTACGAAAATCATAGTGAAAATTGGCGACTAGATCATCTTCATGGTAAAAACCATAAAAAACACCATAAAATTGTGGTTTTTTGCGTTTAACGCAAAAATGCGTGGATGCCTCCTTCCTTCTCGAATTAAAAGCAGAAAAAAAATTTACAAATATTTTTAAACACAAAAAATTATGGAGGAGGGAGTCATCCACCTTGGGTTTTTCAGAATTAAATAGAAAACAAAAAATATCACAATTATCTCTCCAATCAATTAAATTTTGATAAAAAGAAAATTTCCAACCGAAGGTGAATGACTTCTTTCTCCTCCATATAAGAGCAGAGAAAAATTTACAAATATTTTTAAACACAAAAAAATATGATTAATCCAATCCAGCGAATTATACGCAAGAAAATCACAATTTTATGGTTTTTTTTATAGTTTTCACCATGAACATCAAATTTGCGCCAATTTTCATTATCATTTTTGTAATCAGCGCATCAAAATACGTTGGTATACCAATTTTTATTGAAATCGGAGGTCCCCCTTATTCGAAAGTAATCCACTTTATTTATGTAAAATTAGATATTGACAGCGATTCATTTTGGAAAAATTTATTAAAGGGGGGTTTACGAATTGTGACGTAATTTAGAGGGAGGGGGTTCCTTCAGATGTTACGCAGTGTGACAAAGGGGGGGAGGGGGTCAAAAATGGGCTAAAAACGTGTGACGTAATTTATGGACGAAGCCTTATTATATTATGTTTACAAACTTTATGTCAAATTTAAAAATATTAATTGTATTTTCAATAATACAGTGTTTTAAGTCGGTTGTTCAATAATAAAAAAATCATTTATAAAGATTTAAGATCTATATCTAGAAAAAAAATTATAATTTTTTTTTTTGGAATTAAATTGCTCATAATTTATTATTGTACAAAATTATGGTTATGTGGATTCTAAAATTTAAAAAATTTATATGACTAAAAACAATCCATTTTTTTCATTTTGATAGTTGTTATTAGTAAATTACTAAAAAATGTTTACGTTTCATTTTTAAAAATTAGATGGCTGATAAAAAGTTTTTGATAGTTTTTTAAAAAATAATAAGGAGAAAGAAGGTGTCAATTTAACTTCTCAAAATTATGAGCCTGTTTTTAAAAAACCAATTCTTATGAAAGATCTCATTTAAGTATTATTAACAATTACATTTCATTATGTAAATAAAACTTTCTAATGTAAAATATCGACAAAAAAGCTATTATATTTTCATGTTTTATGTTTATAAATGAAAATTTAAAAAAAATTTTGTGAATTCCTATCCCAGTAAACGAAAACTAATTGAAATGAATTAAAAAGAATTCACAAAGAGCTTTCGTGAATCCCGCTTTGTGACAAATACGAATTGGAGCCATGATGCAATTTTCCTGAATTCGTGAAACTGTATTGAACTTCCGAACCTTCTATCCGTACCAATTCACTGGACAAGTTTTGAGCCTTTAATTTTTTTCAATTCGTTAGCACGAATTCAATGCATTCCTTGGCCATTTCTTTCGAATGCGAATTCGTTTGGACAAATTGGTACATATTGAATTAAATTCAATTGAATATACAAAGAGCTTGAGTGAATCCCGCTTTGTGACAAATACGAATTGGAGCCTACCAAAAATGTTAATTCGTTTCAATTCATTTGAATTAGTTTTTTTTTACTGGGATTTTTAGTATTTTTTTCTTTCAATTTTTTGGACAACAACATATATATTCACTTAATTTTCTTACTTACACTGAGAGAAATGGATAGTCAGATTTTGATGTTAAAAAGATGATGTTACACGATACTATCATTATGCTACTGCCAACCATCACAGATGCTAAAAAAATATAGTTTTGAGTAAACTTCAGGAAAAATTACAAGTACACTGAAAAAAAAGTTCTGGTTGGAATTACCAGAAAACCTGTTTTTAACTAGAATTTCGTGTTAAATATGCCCTAACTAGATTTTTCTGCTTAGGTTAAACAGAATTCTAATTAATTTAACCAGAATTCTGGTTGTTTTAACTGGAATATCGTGTTAAATATACCCTAACCAGAACTTTTTTTTCAGTGTAATTCCCATATGAAATTTCAGTCGATTACCCAGTGAGAAATAGCCGTATAGACTATTTTTATTTTTTTATTGGACCGAATAATCGGTCCAATATCGGCCCAATATTGGTTGCCGTGTTGGACGCGGATTAACTCCCAATATTGGACCAATATGGGCCATTCAGCTGATATTTTAAAATTCGATTCATGAAGTAAAAGATTAGCGAAATTGCTCTTATTTTTAAAATTCTGACCGCTCTGATATAAATTGTGTTCTAGTTCCGTATTACTCGGGAAATATATTACAACTGTGAAAACTGTGGCCTGGTCATTGTTCCAAATGGAATCTTTGCGCGGCATTTTTAAGTACAAACTTGTAGTTCTCAACAAAATCAAATATAATGAGAAATTTATTAGTTTTTAAATACATTTGCAAAATTTTGAAGAACAATGCCTGCTGTTGATTGAAAAAGTCATGATGTTTCCATTTGAGTAATTCGTCACAAAGTTCATTGGCCAAATCTGCTGCATTCATACATAAAGTCTTCAAATTACACCTGTTAGTTTGTATCCAAGAATCATCTTTGAGTTCCTCTACATTGTCTTCCTCTAAACATTGAATGAGATTATCTTTGATGTTTTCTTTACCAGGACATTTTCTAGAATTTCACACTACTTTAACGATGCTTCAGCAAATGTGAGATTGAAACGGATTCTTCACACTCAAAATGCACAGCGTCACGTCGATTATAACTTGTCAGCAATTTCTATGATTTAGTGCTATTATGATTATGTGTGTTCTCCGCATATTACCTACAGGTGGCAATTAAAATAGTATATTAAGCAACAAGAAGATAAAGGCAGCCATTTCTTTACGGTGATTTTTGTGACACGAGTGGAGGTCTCGGGGCGCCCTCGACGATCGGCGTTTCAGTGTATTTTTTAAAATAATAAAAGTTTATTTTTTAATCCTTTTAAAAAATAGCTTTCGATAAATAAAGAATAATTTGCCATTACACTATGGTTCAAAAATAAATCTTTAACAATTTTTTGTAACTAAGATAATGGATGAACCATGAACCACAACTTTACACCACAGAAAGATTGCTAAATTGCAATGAAACCAATAAAAAGAAAACATTCAAACTTTTCGTGTGAAATTTCAATCTTTTCGGTGTAAACTTGTGGTTTGCGCTTTAATCACTTATTTGTAGTCAATTTTCTGTAGGTAAAAGTCGATATTTGACCTAAATTTAAAATCAATTTTTGCAACTTCAACCTCATGAACAGCTATTTGATTCTTCTCTGTTTTTACTTCAGGTATCTACAAGGCTTTTATAGATATCCAGAATCATGGTGGAGAAAACTTTTAACTTGACGTGGAATAATCATTTGGCAAATTTATCAGGATTATTTGAAGAGCTCTATAAAAATGGAATACTCACAGACACAACACTAGCTTGTCAAAATGGCATATTAAAAGCACATAAGCTTGTCTTAGCAGCATGTAGCCCTTATTTTGAAAGAGTTTTTAAAGAACATTATGGAGACCAACCCATACTTATATTAAAAGGTAAACATTAATTTACAACCAGATTTATTTTTTAAACTACTTACTTCACTTTCCATATCCATTATTATATTATAAAAAATCAACTGTTTAAATATATCTTAGAAATTTAAAATATTGCTTCACATAACCACAATTTCTGTGAAATATTATTTCAAAACTTAATATAATGATCTTTTTTCGAATAAATAAGTTCCTATTTAATGTAGGTGTACCAATGGAAGAGATGGAATGTCTTCTACATTTTATGTATCGAGGTTCTATTGATGTAACTGAAGAAAATTTACCCTCTTTAATCAGTATAGCCACGGAATTAGAAATACGAGGTTTATCGGCTGATCATCAAAGCGAAATATCTAATGCTTATTTCAATATGAAACAAGATAATTCAAAGAGTCAAAAATTAAACTATACACAAGACGCAACTTCAAATAGTAATATTTTAAGATCTGAAGACTCAAATTCTATCGAACATGTTAAGGTTGAAGAAGTAGAAGTAGAAGATGACCCAATGATTATGGATACTCCTGAAGATAATTTTGATGCTTCTTTACCACTAACTAACAAATGTTTGGTAAGTAAAATATCAATTCTTTTTACCAATACGCAATAAGAGAAATTTTACTAAGTATTTACATTTTTAATAGTTCAGGAACCGCTCTTTTAAGTAGTGCAGCATAAAATACTGTTAATTTATAAATAATCAAGTTTCAGATAGTTAATAAAATCATGAATTTTAAAGGTTTTTTTCATACTTTTTTTTTAGATATTTTACGCAGTTAATATGCTTTTCAATTAATATAATATATATTATATTATTTAATACAATTTGATTATATTTTGAGGACTTGTGTTACATAGTTTTAAATAATTTTTTTTAGTGTTTAACAGGTTACGCAGTCATACAAAACCCATTTTACAACAACTCGGTAAAAATTATTAAAAATTTAAAAATAAATACTATTTTTTATATTAAATATACTTATTTGCTAAATTCATCAAAATAAACAAAAATTATCTGAACATGACTCACCAAAACAGTGTGGCGAACTTCGCAAGACTTTGATATTTTTGAAAATTAAATAAATGAGGATAAGGGTTCGGGTTACGACAGTCGACACAAGGGTTAATGAACGAAATCTTCTCGTATCAAAAGTTGATTTTACCTATAGTTTTAATTAAATGAGCAGTTGCAATTCAATTGATAGACGAGAGCAATAGATGATATGGAGAAGATTGAGCGAACTTACAAAATGATGATCATTGAATAGCAGCGCAAATGTTCTCCTATAAATGATATTCTTAGTGATGGGAACAAAGACACAATAAAACAAAAATAATTAAAAAGTAAATATTTAATTGTATAATTGAACGAACTTACCTTGTGAAGTTCAATTGAAATTGTATTTCGCGCCTCCTCCTCTAGATCAACTCGTAGTCCCCCTACTCCATGCCAAAGTTACCACAATTTTAAAGTATAAAAGTAAAAATCTGCGCACATCGCACTGCTGTGAGAATTTATTTTTATTTTTTTAAAGTTTGCCGTAATTAATATAATAGGGAAATATCTGAGGAATCAGATAATGGTTTAATATTTCATCACTAAGGATGGGATTGATCTATTCGGAGGAGGCGCTCATACAATTTCAATTGAACTTCACAAGGTAAGTTCGTTCAATTATACAATTGTATTTCGCGCCTCCTCCTCTAGATCAACTCGTAGATGTTGAAAGCTATAATCACGGCAAAAATAAATTGGAAAAACACAATGCTATTAAACTTATTTATTAGAAAATTACAAAAAAGAACGAATGTTTTCTTAATTACTTTAACGAAGTAAATGAAAAATGTGATTTTATGCGTTTAGAATTGCATTTGCAAATGCTTGATTATTTGCTGCGATTTTCCTATCGTAGAATTTTGCAAAGGTTTTAGAATTCTCGTTCCAACCTGCGGTTTTGCGAATGATATCGAGGTCAACTTTCAATCTTTTAGCGGCGAAAGTAGACGCGTGTCGAGTGCTGTGAGAGAAATAGACTGATGCGCAGATTTTTACTTTTATACTTTAAAATTGTGGTAACTTTGGCATGGAGTAGGGGGGACTACGAGTTGATCTAGAGGAGGATGCGTGTACGAAGGCACGCTTCTCTCTGATGAGAATTTTCGCGTAATCGTCATCGTAACCATAAGAACATTCGTCTTTGGTCCGATGACACCCGAATTTATAATTCTTTTAACGACCGGTGGTCGCAGTACCTATTAAGCTAACACCTAGCGCGATAAAATATGAATTGGTGAAACAATCAGAACATGGCATATTTAAAGAAAAGTAAGAAAAGATTTAGATCGTTACAACAGTTAAATAAAGATTTTTTGCATTTGCACTGTAGGTATAATAAACATCTTTTTTTCACTTCTATTTTCTGTGAAGAAAATGGAATTTAAACAAAACGCCATTAAAATAATTCATCTTGAAATTATAAATTTAGACATTAGAATTTTTTGGGCACTCCACTTTTAAATTATTTATCAAACACGAAAAATTATATTAATTTACCCCGATTTCCATTGAAATTTTTATTTTCATAACTACTGGATTGAAGTTCATATCACTTTATCCTGAGACTGATATTATTTTTTTACTAAGTTGTTGAATAATAGGTTTTGTGTACGTCTGTGTAACCTGTTAAAAATTTAAAAGAATATAAAAGATATTTAGTGACATAAACTCCCAAAATATAATGAAATTGTATTCAAGAATATTATGTATTATTATCTAGCAGAAGTATTTTATGCAAAAAAACCTTAGAAATTCATGTTTCTTATTAATAAACTATTTGAAATTTGTGTATTTTTAAAATTACCGTATTTTATAACATAACATTTGAAAGAAAGGTTTCTAAACTATAAAAAATGTCTATTGCCAAATGTTTCTTATTCCGTTTTATTATTTAAAAATATTGCCGAACTTTAGGTTAAGATTTTGTACATTTGGTCCTTATAGGATTAACCCTTAAAGCTCACACTTACGAATCCATCCTTAAACCGCACACTGGGTGTGCGACACCCGGGGACTTTTAAGTGTGTTCTCCAAGCTGGAATAGGGTATTATCTTTTAGAAAAATTATCTTATGTAGCTCAGTACATCTACTTTGAAGAAAAGTAGGTTTCATAATGATTTATTTAATCTTAATAATTAATAAAAAGTTTTTTAAAATTACTGAAATTACCTTAAACCGAAAACTGGGTGTCAGACACCCAGAAATAACAGGAAATTAAGACCTTTATAATGATGATATTAGAAGCATTCCCTATAGATCGAAACAAAATGTTACTCTAGATATAAATATATAGTCTTGTTTTGTCACTCATAAGAAATGTCAGTGTTCAGTCTAAATGATATTTTAATTTCTCTGACGATTTTATTAAAGACGTGTTACAAATGTAACCAATTGTTTATTTAACATTTTTTAAACAAATGACTAGTGTCCTGATGACGGTGTCAAACCAAGATACCGAAACGTTGCACAAGTGAAATATGTTTTTCATTTATCACTCTTCCGATAATCGATCAAAAAACATAAACAAATTACAACAACGGAAGAAAATAAACGATTATTATTACTTATATATAGGTATACCTCTTGTTTTAGTCTGTTTCTTATTTATCTCCATCTGACATTGACTCCTTTCTTGCATTCGTCGGGAGTGTTGTGCACTGTTGTAACTTTGGAAGGTGTGCATAAACGTAAACATTCACACATTCACTAGGTATCCTAAATGGCTTTCAATTCATGGCTTTCTCCCATCCGCAATCTTCTTCTTTATTTTCGATCCAATTAAATAGGGAATTCCTCATTTGATTTGTTGAAAAATTAAGACTAGGGAGTTGCTGAACTATTTCTTCTATCATCATGTCAGGAAAATGTCTTAACTCATCACTGTTCTGTTGAGAATTTATTATTAATGAGTCGCTCCTAGAAGCGATTTCCAAACTTTATGAAAAGTAGATTTTTGTATAGTATCCCAAGCGCTGCTGAAAAAGGGAAAACAATCTTTTAGAGTTTAACTTTTTATAAATTCACTAATACAGTCAACTCTACCAATAGTGCCACTAGTACTACTTCTCCTCTTTCTCGCTCGAGCTCTATCCCCACTTTCGAGACTCTAGCTCGGCTTCTGAATTTCGAGTTTCCCCAAGAAGAGAAATATATAAACAGTGGGGGTACTACAGTTTCAAGAAAAGTCGTAAACGCTGTGCAATTTTGCGACACTATTGATAGAGTTGACTGTATTACATGTTTCTTTTGGCGAACCAGAATTTTTTGCTTATCTCGATCAACCCTTGGTCTAATGGTTGTCAAAGTTGTTTGACTTCAAAGATATTTGTCATTCAGTGGCTTAGTGTAATTCTATACACATTTTATATCAAGTTTACGCTATATTGACATACTCGGTATATTGACACTGTTGGGAAGCAAGTAAATGTACGATATTGCGTCTAATGGTAACTTTTACGAATGTCAGAAATTTTTGCAGGAAATAATATAATCGTGTAACTAGTGCCAGTCTAACAGACGTATTTACAATTACTTAGACATCGAATAGATTGTTTAAATCGTCTATTTCTTGATGGTGCGCACCAACAAGAATTAAGTTGTCTATTCGAAGTCCTAGACAGCGATTAAACATATACTTTGCATCTAAGATATGGAATAGACCACTCGTCTTTTGCGAATGAGCAGCCGAATTCTGAGCAGTAGACGTCTAATAGACAACAATTTCGATGTCTATAGACGTTTTGTGGCGTCCCATTTCGACGTCTATATATAGATGTCGATTTAGATTCCACATAGATAGATGTTTTAGACGTCGATTAGATCTTTCATTTCTGACTGGGATATGAGTCCAATGCGGCGTAGGCTGGTTTCAATGCTGCGCACAATCGGTACAAACCGGTTTCCTTTTTTTAAAGCTTAAACTTTGCACCGCATTGGGACTCTTTGATTTCCGTATTGACCACGACACCCAATGCGGTATTTCGCGAATTCCGCATTGGCGGGTTGGCACTCGAATACGGAATCCCGTACCTTTCAATACTTTTTTTTACAGAGTTTGCTTATAGTACCAAATGCATAACTACCCAGTGTGCACGTTCCGGAACAATTCCGGAACCGTTCTGTAACTGTTCTTTATTTCCATTAACTGTTACAGAACAGTTCCAGAACGTGCACACTGGGTAAACGAAAAAAAATATAAAATATACTTATAGTATAAAGGTTTTTGGAGACCCTGATTTCGAATATGATAACTTTATTCAAATAGATACAAAAGATTGCTAGCATGGTTAGAACAGACCTGAATTGAAAAGTGGAAACAAAAGTGTAATTGAGTAGAAATGATAAGTGCTACATCTGTGATGTCTTGGCGCGAAAAATATAATAGTCAATTGTCTGATTTAGATTGATATCACTAACATACCCCCCTGAATCAAAACGTTTTTTTTAAATTTACTTTTAATCACGAACCCCAAGTTCCAACACACACTTATTATTTTTAGACACTGGTAATCCT